CCTCAGGTCTTCCAAACAAAAACAAGGGAGGAACTGAGTTGGGGGAGGATGAAGGTGAGACCCTTTAGATAGGCTAGTCTCCACTCGGCGAAAAAAGTAGAGGATCAATTACGATTATAATTACGACCTTATACCCATGTAATTTATTTTGATTTCAAACCTTCCGTTTGAGGCTGTCGTAATTGATTCTAATTTCAAACCTTCCGTTTGAAACGATCATAATTTATTCTAATTTCAGGCCTTTTGTTTGAGATTATAATAAATCTATCTGCTAGATAATTTTTTATCCAAATAATACTGCGACTTAGATCATATACCCAGGTTTAACTTAGGGTTGCACAATTTAGTTTGTCTCGAGACATTCAAAATAGCCAAAATATTAACCAAGTCTCATATCCAATAAATATATAAGATTTATTTATTTCATCTAAATTAATCCACTTATTTTGGTTCACCGGTCCATCGCATTCATCGATTAATCGGTTGTGTAGATTCCGAATTTAATTTCTAACATTAGATTTCACCTATTGAATAACCGATTATCCAACAGTCGCCCACATGAGTGGAAATGCCCATAAAATGACAGAAGCGCAGCTCAATCCCAGAGAGACATTGACACATCAGGATAGGCAGCTTATGGTTTTGAACCTTCCATTGTCAACATTACAGTGTACTAGAAGCCCAGTTGACGGGATGCATTGAATTGTTTTACCTATGCGTGCACTTAGTCAATAATATTGATGTGTCGCTATCGCACCTCAACTTTGTTCTCACATTTTCATTTGTTTCGGCCATGAATCTCGTCTTTGGATTCATAAGTATTTCATTTAAAGCAGCCCACACTTTACACTTATATACGTGATCATATCTCAAAGTATCTAACTTACACTTTTAGAATCATTGAGAGTGATTGACTCAACCTCTCCACTTTTGCACATTGTAACTCTCATTGCTTTTCAGAAAATTGAAATTGAGTGTTCGTGTTGGACTTTCATAGCTTAGTTTTCCCATTGAGCCAAGGCTTGGGATTTCCAAGTGATTTGGTTGGGTTACCACTGTAATTGTCTTTATATTGTCAATTGCAAGTCCATTTCCTTTAGCAGTCTGTACATTTGATCTATCTGCAACCTTTTGGTTAAAGGATCCGCTAGGTTTTCGATTGACTTCACATATGCAATAGTCAAAACCCCACTGGTGTTCAAAGGTTTTACGGTGTTGTGTCTACGTTGGATATGTCGGAATTTACTATTGTAAATTCTATTTTTAGCCCTTGCTATTGCAGCTTGGCTATCGCAGTGAATCACCACGGGAAGTATTGGTTTAGTCTAGTATGAAATATCATCCATGAAGTTCCTAAGCCATTCGGCTTCCTCGCCAGCTTTGTCCAAAGCAATGAACTCCGATTTCATTGTGGACCGTGCAATGCACGTATGTTTTGTGAATTTTCATGAAACTGTTCCCCCACTAATTTTAAATACATATCCACTTGTAGACATTGATTCTTTTGCATCGGATATCCAATTGGCCTCGCAGTACCCTTCTAGTACCGGTGGATATTTCGCGTAATGTATGCCAAATTTGAAAATAAACTTAAGATAACTTAAGACTCTTACTAGAACTTTCCAATGTTAATGACTGGGATTGCTAGTGTATCTACTTAGCTTGTTTACAGGGCAAGTCAAGTCAGGTCAGGCCTTGTACAGTTTGATAAATACATTAGGCTTCTAACAATTTGGACACTCTTCTTGAGCTACGGGATCTCCCATGTTTCTTATTCAAATGTACACTGAGGTCCCTTGAGGTTTTCACTAGAGTGTTGTCATAGGCATTGAAATTTCTCAATATTTTTTCCACGTAGTGGGACTGAGTCAGAATAATGTCATTGTCTTGTCTTAGAATTTTCATTCCAAGGATAACGTCGGCTAACCCCAAATATTTTATGTCGAAGTTATGACTCAACATGCGTTTGACCTTATCAAACAGACTAACCTCTTTAGCCATAATGAGTAAGTCGTCTACATATAGACAGACTAAGATAAAACCGGAAGGTGTTTTTTTTTGGCATAGACACACTTGTCATATTCGTTTATTTTAAAACCATTTGATAACATGACATTATCCAATTTTAGGTGCATTGTAAAGGTGTCTGTTTTAGTCCGTACAAAGACTTTATCAGTTTGCACACCTATTTCTCTTGGCCAGGAACGACATATCCTTCCGGTTGTTTCATATATGCCTCTTTTTCTAATTCACCGTTTAGGAAAAGTCTTCACATCCATTTGGTGAATCTCAAGATTGTTAAAAGACGCAATCGAGAGAAGCCCTCGAATGAATATTATCCTGGTTACTGGTGAATATGGGTCGAAGATGTCAAATCCTTTGGTTTGTCTATAGCTTTTTACTACGATACGTGTTTTGTATTTATCAATAGACCCATCAGTCTTGAGTTTTTTTTTTCAAGACTCATTTGCACCCCAGTGGTTTACAACCTTCGAGCAGGTCAAATAATACCCAAGTGTTATTCTGCATTATTGAGTCTATTTCACTATCTATTGCTTTTTTCCAGAAAGGAGCATCAAGACAAGATAGTGCTTCCTTAATCGTTGTTGGATCATTGTCCAACATATATGTAAAGAAATCCGGACTAAAGGTTTTCTCGACCTTTGTCTTTTTTCTATGCCTAGGTTCTGAAACCTCTTTATCAGGACTACTAGTCATTTGTCTCTTTTTTACCCCGTAGTTCTTCATTTACGGATTTTGGGTCGAACTGAATTTTTCCCTTACAAAGGTAGAGTTTTTCAAAGAATATGATATTCCTTAATTCTATTGTAGTTCCCTCGGTTATTTCAGGAATTTCCGATTTGTAAACTATGAAACGATAAGCACTACTGTTTAGTGCATATCCGATAAATATGCAATATACCATTTTTGGGCCGATAGCGACTTGCTTTGGAGGTGGAACTTCCACTTTTGCTAGGCACCTCCACACTTTGAAGTATTTGTATGTGTGTTTCTTCACTTTCCATAGTTCGTAAGGAGCAGCATCCTTACCCTTAAGTGGAATCTTGTTTAGGATATAATTTGCAGTCAATATTGTCTCCCTATAAGTTTGGGGGAGTCTTGAACTTATCAACAATGCAATCATCATTTCTGTAAGTGTTTGATTGTTGCATTCCGCATTATTTTGTCTTGTCGGAGCAAACATGGCAGGTTGCTCCGGTATCGAGAAGCCACACTTTTGGACTTTCCACATTATTTTTTTCGTACGCAACAGTGACAAAATCGTCATCGTTGAGGCCACGATCAGTCCAGTGGCTCGTCTCAACCAGTTGGGAACTCAACTTCTTCTTTTTGGTGCCTTACAATCCTTAACCTAGTGTCATGTTTTACCACAGTTAAAACAGTTATCTGTAAACTTGGACTGTTTGGACTTATCTTTGCCAATCAAGTCGGGCGTGCATGCTTTCTGGAAAGATCTCTGACCAAGTTGGCTTTGGCAATATCTCCGCCTTTAGCCTTGGACGGTCAGATCTTCAAGTCCTACTTGTTTTAGCTCATGCTTCAGCCCGCGCTTGAAGTTATTCCAACTCGGGGGCAATTTCTCGATCATCACACTCGTGATGAACTTTTCAGGCAGTGACATCTCCACGTCGATAACAGAGTGGACAATGTGTTGAAATTCTTCCACTTGTTCAACGACAGATTTGCTATCTACCATTTTATAGTCCATAAACTGGGCCACGGCAAACATTTTGGACCCGGCATTCTCAGAGTTATACATTTTTTCAAGGGCATTCCACAGTCTTTTCGCACTCTTTATTTTACAATATAGATTATAAAGAGAATTAGAGAGACTGCCTAATATGGTGCTCCTTGTCATGTAGTCTCCATGCGCCCACGATGCATAAATTGCATGCATCTGCTGATCCGTATCGGGTTCTGGGGTTGTTGGGCCATCGTGCAGCACGAATATGGAAAACCCAATCGAGGTCAGGTAGAAGAGCATCTTCTACTGCTACCTCTTTTAAGTCCACCTGGTATGAGAGGCATGATCTGTGGACCAAACCCAAGACCAGCATTTTGGGCTGCGAATGAGAGGAAGGTGTGACCACAAACACAACCCCACATCCACTTGGGGCAAACTCAGAAAACACAGGGCTACCCATAAAGGGAACCGGCCTAATTGGGAGAGCAGCAACTCCGCTGACGGCTCCAGCAACCTCCCAGACGGCGGATCCTCTGGAGACTCCTCTGGTGGCTCCTCCGGCGTTCCTCCAGCGACTCCGGCAGGGATACATTCTCGCAAAGTAGTATCAAATTTTTAATTGATAGTACAAAGGGTATTGCGAGAAATAAATGTACCGCGAAACTGAGTCGATAATAAATCCTCTTTCCAAAAATTAAATACGCCATGGTAACCTAACCCAAAGATAAAACGATTTCCATCTCCAATGAGAGTAACACCTCAGGTCGTCCGAACAAAAACGAGGGCAGGAGATCAATTACGAGCATAATTACGACCTTAATATCCATGTAATTTATTTTGATTTCAAACATTCTATTTGAAGCTTTCGTAATTGATTCTAATTTCAAACATTCCGTTTCAGACGATCGTAATTTATTCTAATTTTAAAACTTCCTTTTAAGACGATTGTACCATATAAATTTTATCCAATATATATTATATTTATTTATTTCATCCAAATTAATCCAATTAATTTGATTTGGCATTTTTATTCGGTTGTGTAGATTCCAAATTTTATTTCTAATATTAAATTCCACTGACTAAATAACCGATTTTCGAACAAAACATTCCTTGAGCATGTTCAAAACTCGCAGCATCCTTTTCATACCCAAAGGATATTGTGATTAAACAACAGGCAGAACAATTAATCACGATTTCGCAAAGCAGCAGCGGTTTTCACAAATTTGTCTTACTAAGCAAGTCAACCGATATAGAGTTCACATTTCAACTGTCACTATGAACGAGGAAATGTCACCTTGTGAAGGAGCGGCCTTAGCCAAGACTGAGCTACACGCCCAATCGCGACCCGAAACAACCCACAGAGGCCTTATCTGCTGCTGCCTCTTGGATGAAAATAAAGCAGCACTAACGGCAGATTCAGATGAGCATTGTAAGTACACAGGCACTCGCGCTGCGCAAGTGAAGTATCAGTGTTACTTCGAGAAAGCAGAACGAACTGATAAGGCGTACAGAATAAAAAAAAACTCACTTCCTCTTGGTTGGCATTTGAAGCAGTGAAACGACGCCGGAGTGGAAGAACAGGGAGCGGTCAGAATCTGCATTCTTCTCGTTGTTCTGCTGGTGCTCGTTAATGGCGCAGAAAGGCGAGCAGAGAATTTGGCCCTCACCTTCTCATGGCCAAGTGTAGCTAGCGCTGCGGACATGTGGTGCGTAATCTCTTGTCAGGCGCTGCCAACAGAAACTTGAGTTTTCATCCTTCAAGTTTCACTTTTTATCAAATCAACCCTTAAGTTTAACGTGTGTTTTGTCTTTGGATTTTAAATTTTGGATTTTAATTTTAAATATTAAAATTTTGAATTTAAATAATTACTTATTGTAATATAAATATATATTTATATTATATTTTAAATATAAAATTAAATTTTTAATGTAATATAAAAAAAATTAAAAATAAATATTTAATTTGATATTTTTTAAAATCTTACAAACTTTTAAAATCAACCAATTGTGTTTGTATTTGGTTATAGTTTTGGGAATTAATTTTGATTTTAAGTAGTAAATTTTTAAACTTAAATAATTTATTTTAATATAGATAGATATTAATATAATTATATATATATAATTAATCTTTAATAATAATATAAAAACAAATTTTTAATTTAATATTTTTTAAAATAAATTATAATATAATAAAAATCAAATTCAATATTTACAAATAAATACATCTTAAAGTAGCATTTTATGTATATTTGAGGCCGTTTGATTGGTTGTTGCAAGAGCTTTGGCTTATATTTATGTATCTTGTACCTATTTGCATATGCTTCTGTTCAAAAGCAAAAGCATGTTTGGAGGGTTTTTTTTTTTCTTTTTAGAATGTAATTTTTAAAAAAAATAGAAGCATTTTTTAATTAAAATTATTATTTTATCCTTTATAATAATAATAACAATAATAATAAATACAATACTATAATATAATACTTCATCCGTCATGCAAATGTGTGTTTATTTGATCGGACACGAGTTTTAAAAGAAGTGAGTAATAATAGTTACTTTTTTATAGTAAAAAAAAAAGTACAAAAATATAATGATATTTTACTTTAAAAGAAAACGAGAATATTTTCTTTATGACAGCTCAAAAAAAAAATGAACATAGATTTGAATAACAGTATAAAATAATTAATTTATATATTATATTTAATGAAAATTCGAAAATATAATTATATTATTGTCTTTAATTTATATGTTATACTTATTTAAATTTAAAATTATAGTTAAGACACCAAATTTAAATAAGAGTATATAAATTTTGAATTATACTAAAATTATTAAATATAATTTATAGACTTTTAAAATAAATTGTAAAATACTAATAATTTAATATTATATTATAATTTTATTTTTAATTTATATACTATTCTTAAATTAAATTTTAAAATATAAAAAACTAAAATATATAAAATTTAAAAATAAATTATAAAAGTATTATAGAAAAAGATAATTATATCGACAGCTTTTCAATCATTTTAACAATTAGGCCCTTCCAACTTCGTGAAATTCAAACTTGTTTTTTTTTATATGAAAAATTGTTTTTATATTAATTTATTCAAACATAAAATCACTGTTTCTATTTTTCGCTCCGTATTATTTTTTAAGTTAATCCAAACAAATCTAATATCTCGTAGAAATAAGGCTAACTTGGCACAAGGCTTTTACAATTAATGTAGGACAATAAGTACAGTTTATTTAAAAGCCACTAATTTAAAAATAAAAACAAGGTCCAACTAATTAAATAACTAAGAAATGTCCAATTAATTAAATTAAAAGAGCACACCCTATTACATAAAATAGAACACCTCTTATGGGATAATAATGTGAGTAGCAATTCCCATAGGTGTTATAAATTGTGGTCTTCAAGGGAATGAAGTGCATAGATCATGGATGCACTCCAATGTTGGTCTCTATGCTTCCACTTTATGCATGTTCTCCTCTTTCAAGTGTAGAACTAATGCCATAATATTAGTTTGAAACATCTTGGCATGGCTTCGTGTAATCGGACCAGGTGGAAGTGTAGGTTCATGATCGCTCAATACGATAGGCATTGTCATTGATGCATTCCACAACTTGGAATGGTTCATCTCCTTTTGGGCTCAACTTAGACTTTCGTTGCTCGAAAAATCTATTTTTTTTGAAGTGCAACCACACACAATCGCCTGGTTGAAACACTACATGATTACGCCCTTTGTTAGAACTTTTAGAATACCGAGCATTTGACTTTGCAATGTTATCCCGAACCTTTGAATGCATCTTCTTCACAAATTCAGCCCGTTTCCTGCCATCACTATAAAATACTCATTCTAGGCAATGGTAACATGTCCAATGGTGATAGAGGATTAAAGCCATAAACCACCTCAAAATGAGACATGTGTTTTGATTAATGCAACGTACGATTATATGCAAATTCAGCATGAGGCAAACATTCCTCGCAACTTTTGCAATTCTTTTCTATCAAGATACGAAGTAGGTTCCCTAAGGTTTTATTCATTGTTTTAGTTTGACCATCCATTTGGGAATGGTTAGATGTAAAAAATAGCAACTTAGTTCTCAATTTAGTCCAAAGTGTCTTCCAAAAGTAACCAAGCAACTTTGTTTCCCTATCCGACACAATTGTCTTAGGAACACCATGCAATTTCAAGACATTATGAAAGAATAGATTTGCAACATGAGATGCATCATTGGTTTTCTTACATACAATGAGGTGTGCCATTTTTGAAAATCTATCAACCACAATCCATTGAAATATCAGTCCATGGTGCTTCTAGAATAGGTAAGGATGTGTATAGACCATGTGGTTGTACATGTGATTTTGAAATCTTACAAACAACATATTTATTAACATAGGACTCCACATCATGCTTTATTTTAGGCCAATAATGATGTTCATGCAATGCACTCAATGTCTTATCACACCCAAAATGACCCTTCAAACCTCTCTTATGTGCCTTAACCGCTAACACATCACGAAGTGAACACATTAAATAAATATCCATCATGCAAATAATAGTCACCAAAGTCATGTGTAACACATTTTGCAAAGATATCAACAAAATCAACATCATTCATATAAATATCTTTTATGAATGCAAATTTTATAAGCTTAGATTCTATCAAGGTTAGTAACCCGTACCTCCTTGATTGCGCATCAAAATCCTAATATACAACTAAAGGGTGCCATCCTCACCGAGCTTGTCTCCCCATCCTTTCTTATATTTTTATTTTTATTTTCTTATTTTTTGCTCTACAAAGCACGGACATGCAAAGCTTCTTCGTAAGACACGACACTGCCCAACCTTCAACCGCCAATTCTTTCTACACCATGACTTTCCTCTTATACCATTTGTCAACCTCTTTGTCCTTCATCCATTCTTCACAGCACTTGAAGGTTGACTAAGGTCCAACTCTATATTCTTTGATTTGTTTATGTGCCTCATTCCTGTAATTGTTACGATTGTTTTACTCAATATGAGAAAAATAAATGTAAATCAAATTCTACAACCCAGTCTCACCGGGCTGTTTGTATATTTTTTGTTTCCTTAATTAAGTAGGAAAACAATTCTTTAACTTGATTCATTGTTGTAATAACTCATGTTATTGACCTGAGAACCCCTACTGCCCATCGACGGAAAAACACTTTCCTATGCTGCCGCAAGGCATGCGCCGCCTCCACTGCACGTCAAGGATCCCCGTAAGCTGCTTTTGATGGCCTAGCGTGTGATGACGTGCAGGAATTGATACGGTATATATAGGTTTTAGTTTTGTAATATGAATAGGAAAAGTCTATTTAATCGGAAGAGTCTCTTGCATGTTGCATTGGGAAGTGTTGTATTGAGAAGATGGAAGGTTTAGTGATACGTAAGAGAAAAATGAGCACCACAAGAAATTGGAGTAAGAACACGATAGAGAAAGGAAAAAGTTCTATTGAAATAAAAAATAGAGAATTACAATCAAAATTTTCAAGGAATCCCCTCTCTCACAAATATTAAGTTGGAGCCTGAACACATAAACCCAAAAATGACATAAATGAGAATCAAATTTAGACCTCCACCTCATTTATTCTTTTCTCTCTGGTAACAACCTCTAGTCACTTTGGTTATTTACCCTTTTAGCCCTTCTAAAATACATGTGTAGTATCATTTGCCTAATACTCCTATTGCTAATAAATTCTGATTTTGTATAATTACTCTCCCCTTTGGAAAAAGTTTTATCCTCAAGACTTGCATCAGGAAATTGACTCGTTATGGTTATTGCATCCTCCCAAGTTGCCTCATCGTACGAACTTCCCTTCCATTGAACCAACCACTGCTCTTGATCTGTCTTGTGTTCCTGTATGGTACGCTTGGCCAAAATTGCCACCAAAGTGATCAAGTCAGCCGTATGTACATCCAATTCGGGAGGTAAAACTGTGTCAACAGTACCATGAACAACTTTCTTGAGTAAAGACACATGGAACACAAGGTGGATTTTGGAGGTGGGAGGTAAAGCTAATTTATATGCCACTGGTCTTATCCCCACTGTGACTTGAAAAAGACCAAAAAAACAAGGTGATAATTTTTTATGGATACGGATGGCCACTGATAACTGACGATATGGTTTCAGTTTGACATAAACCCACTCACCCATATCGAAATGCATCTCCCTTCGTTTCTTATCTGCATTTTGCTTCATCAGTTCCTGGGCATGCAACATATGAACTCGAAGTTGCTTTAAAGCTTCATCCCTGTCTTGTAACTCCACCAAAACTTGCTGGACACAAATCTCGCCCAGTATATATTACGTTACAGCATGTGGTTTCTGACTATAAACCACCTCAAAAGAGTTTTTCCCGTGGATTCATGAAAGGTGGAATTGTACCAAAAATCAGCTCAAGGAAGCCAAATTGACCACGTATGTGGCTGATCGATAGAAAAACACTGAAGATAAGACTCCAAACAACTATTAATAACTTCGGTTTGACCATCCGTTTCCGGATGATATGCTGAGCTCATGAGCAGCTCCGTACGCTATGAGCGAAAAATTTCCTGCCAAAAATAGCTTAAAACAGAGGGTCTCGATCACTCACAATAGATTGTGGCAAGTCATAGTGATGGACTACTTCCTTGACAAAAATTTTGGCAACTAATTTAGCTGTGTAGGGATGTTTAAGAAGGATAAAATGATTGTATTTGGACAAGCGATCAACCACTACAAGAATGGCATCAAACCCTTTAGACTTGGGCAACCCAAGAATAAAGTCCATAGATAAGTGCTCCCAAATAGCCGTGGGAATATCTAAAGGTTGCAACAGTCCTCCCGGTACTATAGAACTAGACTTGCAACATTGGAAAACATCACAGGCTCGAACAAATTGCTTGACATAAGCTACCATCCCTTTCCAATATAAGTTACCAGTCAGTCGACGATAAGTCCGATAATAACCGGAGTGCCCTCCCAAAGCAGACTGGTGAAATTCTTTCAATAGAGAGGGAATAAATTTCAAATTGCTGGGAATAACCGAACGATCTTTATAGAAAAAAATTCCATTACGAACCGAGTATAGATAAGTGCTCCCAAATAGCCGTGGGAATATCTAAAGGTAGCAACAGTCCTCCCGGTACTATAGAACTAGACTTGCAACATTGGAAAACATCACAGGCTCGAACAAATTGCTTGACATAAGCTACCATCCCTTTCTAATATAAGTTACCAGTCAGTCGACGATAAGTCCGATAATAACCGGAGTGCCCTCCCAAAGCAAACTGGTGAAATTCTTTCAATAGAGAGGGAATAAATTTCAAATTGCTGGGAATAACCGAACGACCTTTATAGAAAAAAATTCCATTACGAACCGAGTACCCCAGATGTGCATCAGATTGCATAGAGCATTCTTGTACCAATTTTTGTATGATGTGGTCAACCTTATGTTCCTCTAACAACTCAACACCTTGCAACCACAGAGGGAAGGACAGACCTATCAAAAAAGTATCGTCATCAGCCTTCCGAAATAGAGCATCTGATGCCCGATTTTCTCTTTCCGGTTTGTAGCAAATTTCAAAGTTGTAATGTAATAACTTTGCCACCCAATTTTGTTGACCCGGACTAGTAATCCGTTGTTGTAAAAGAAACTTCAAACTTTTCTGATCAGTGTAGACCACAAACTTGGTTCCTAAAAGATAAGATCGCCAATGTTGCACTGCAAGTACCAACGCCGTAACTTCATTTTCATATGCCGATTTCGATAAATTCCGGTCACTTAAGGCTTTACTAAAATACAAAATTGGCTTGTGATGTTGCATCAATACTGCACCTATGCCCCTGCCTGATGCATCACATTCTACGAAAAAAGAAAGAGAAAAATCGGGAAGAGCTAACAAAGGAACAATCACCATAGCCTTTTTCAGTTTATCAAATGCTTCTTACGCCCCCTCATACCATGTGAAAGCATCCTTCTTGGTAAAATCAGTGAGAGGCTTTGCAATACTTCCATAATGACGTATGAATTTACGATAGTAGCTTGTAAGGCCTAAAAAACCACGTAAACCCTTGATTTGTTTAGGGATAGGCCAATCCAAAATTGCTTCAATTTTCTTAGGATCCATGGCCACCCCCTCACCTGTGATAATATGTTCCAAATATTCCACTAATTGTTGGCCAAAAGAACACTTTTTCTGATTAACAACAAACTAATTATGCTTTAGAACCTGCAGGGCGACTGCCAAATCAGCCAAATGGGATTCCCAAGTAGAGCTAAAAATCAATATGTCATCCAAAAAATCGCCACCATTTTTCGTAACCACATACGAAAAATATCATTTATGACGGCTTAAAATGTAGCGGGAGCATTAATAAGCCCAAAAGGCATTACCAAATATTCGTAATGGGTGTCATGTGTTTGAAAAGCTGTCTTCTCAATGTTGTCGGGATGCATATGTATTTGATTGTACCCAGATTTCAAATCGATTTTGGAAAAGAATTTTGCACCATGTAGTTCATTGATAAACTCCTCAACCATGGGAATGGGAAACTTATCTGTCACGGTAGCCTTGTTAAGAGCCCTATAATCTACACACATTCACCATGTTTGATGCTTCTTTCTAACCAAAATCATGGGACTTGAAAACGCACTCTGACTTGGACGAATCATTCCTAAAGACAGTAACTTTTGCATTTGTTTTTCAATTTCTGATTTTTGCACATATGGGTATTGATATGGTCAGAGACACACTGGATCATGAAAATTATTAAGAGTAATAACGTCGTCATGACAACTTGTTGGATATGCTCTTCATTGTGCTCAATGTGAGCTTTGAACAGAACGAGTCTCCATTAAAAGCGAAGGGACGAACAAAAATGGCAGGTCAACGGCAAGTCGAACCAATGATACATAAGAGAAAAATGAGCACCGCAAGAAACTGGAGTAAGAACACAATAGAGGAAGAATGAAGTTCTATCGAAATAAAAAGTAGAATTGCAAACAAAATTTACAGGAAATCCCCTCTCTCACAACCACTAAGTTGGAGTCTGAACACATCAAGGAAGCCAACTCTCGTTCTTTGGACAAAAAAAAAAGGAGTTCGTCACTCTTTTTCACAACCAAAACAATGAAATAAATGAAAATCAAATCTAGACACCCACCTCATTTATTATTCTCTCTCTTGTAAGAACCTCTAGCCACTTTGGTTATTTGCCCTTTTAGCCCTTCTACAATACATGTATAGTATCTTTGCCTATTACTCTTATTGCTAACTGGTTGACAATATTTAGCGTGTGAATCAAATATACTAATTTATTGATTGTTGTGTTCAAAATGTGTTATTTATTATTTCTATGGATTTTATACACTTATAATTATTGTTGATAATATTAGGATTTATTTTTGAAAATATAAATATGGAATTTTTATTAAAGTAAGTTTATTATTACTATTTCAATATGTAGAGAAATGTAAATAATTAATTCTAATATAAAATAATATTGTTGTATGATTTAATAATATATTAACAGTAATTTTTTTTCAACAACCAAACAAATATCAAATAATTGAATTATATGTAAATTAATTATTATAATTATTTTATTATAAAAATATCTATCTTTTTAATTTTATTAAGTACAAGATATTCAATTGATAAAGTATTTTACAAAAATGTTAATACTTATTTGTAAAATATATTTATTCATCGTATTATTATATAAATTATTAATTTTAAAATAAGTAATCTTTCATTTCTTGTTTTTAATGAAAATTAACATATGTATTTGTTTTGTGAGATTATTGGATTTTTTTTTTTATGTGAAAGTATAAGAAATTGTGTAGAGAACATAATAATAATAATAATAATAATGAAAATGTATACTGTATTATTATTATTATTATTATTATTATTATTATTATTATTATTATTATTATTATTATTTTCTGAAAAATGTGTGAAAAATAATATTAAAAAGAACAAAGCCACATTGGAATGAATTAAAATTTTTGCTCTTAAGATATACTATTATACTACACTTACATATATAATCTTTTTATTTCTTAAATAATAAATTATAGTATTTGATTTTATAATGACTGGCATATAAATAAATAATAGTGACTTATTAAATTTTATTGTGATTTTTTTACAAAATAAAAATATTAAAAATACAATTACATTACATACAAATTTTTATATATTTAAAATAAATATATTATATAGGTACGAAACTAACCATTTAAATTTATATATAACCCTAATCCAATCAAATATTCTAACCAATCAAAGAAAATGAAAAATAAAAGATAAAATTATTAAAAAATAATGGTTTTTTTTTTTTTATTTTGGTGGGTTTATATTTGTATAAAAACCAATCAAAATATTTAACCACTCAAAATTTTAATCAAAATTTTGTAAGAAAGAATCAAAATGACTAATTTATATTTTTTTTGGTTATAAAGTAGATCCTACAATGATCTTAAATATATATAAGAATATACATTCCCTCCGTCTCTTAATAAATTATTTATTTTCTTGTTTTGCTCTGTTCGTACAAAATATTCATTTTTTAATAACTTTATTATTTATTTAATATTATAAATACAAATTAGACTATATTATACAAATATTATATCACACAATATTAATAATATTATTTTTAGTTATTATTCTTATTACATATAAATATAATCCTAATATATAAAAAAAGGGTACACCTATTTAAGAGTCCGAGGGAATATAAGATAAGATTTCATTAATAAACTGTATTGTACTTGGCAATTAATTGGTGGCTACTTGTGGTCTTTTCTGGAGGGAGCTTGCAAATTCTCAAAAACAATTGCAGCAGAGGCACTCAGCAGATTTCAATATGGATCGAATCCTCACAAACCCACTCAGCAGGTTCTCCGTTTTCCTACATGATTTCAAGATTAAACCTTCCAACTTTCCAACAAAGCAGCCGGTGAATGTGCTGCCGTTTAAGCGGGTTAGAGTATCCTGCAGCTTGATAGACAGGGAGAGAGAGAAAGCTGTGGGGCCCAAGAGAGTCGTGAAGGCGCGCGTGAATGAGAAGGGGAGTTTGGGAGAAGTTGGGAGAGGCGATGAGGGTGGGGACGAAGAAGTGGATTTCGATCGGAATTGGCCACCATGGGAGAAGCTCCCTCAAAGATATAAGCTCATTGGGACTACGTCTCTGGCCTTTGTCGTTTGCAACATGGATAAGGTAGTTTCTCTCAGTTACTTATCTGTATCTGTGATGAGTTTTTATGTCTCAACTGCTTCAGAGTTGAGGCGGCAGAACCCTTGCTTGCTACTGCTCAATCAATGGGGATTGAAAGATTTTGTCCAGAATAATGGTTCGTTATGGATTCTTGGACTATTTCGAGAATGTGTATTAGCATAGTTCTTTGTTGATTTGAATAGTGTGTATGTTTATTCTTATTAAATATATATCTAATTTGATATAACACAGCATTATTGAATGTATAATTAGATCTATTGGTACTAGTGGTTTATGAGTTTGAATTTGAACGAATGGTTAATGTTTGATCAAGTTATGAGCTGTTGAGCTTTCTTATATTTATCTATGATGAAGAAAGTGCTAATTTTTGTTGGAGTATATTTGATATGTTAGTAGGGTATATGATAATACTTATTGTTAAACCAAAGTCACATGAAAACCAATGTGCAGTTCTCTCCATTTAGAATGGAAACACTGAATATTTCCTTTGTATGATGCTGTAGAGTGCTTGCATGATAACTAATAAATAATTCAGAACATTATTGAGCAGGATGCTGGATTTTAGATTGACTAGAAACTAAAATTTCCTGAATTAAATAGGTCAATTTAAGTGTTGCTATAATTCCGATGTCGCATCAATATGGCTGGAATGCTTCTACAGCTGGATTGGTGCAATCATCATTCTTCTGGGGTTACGCTCTTAGTCAGTTGCCTGGAGGTTGGTTAGCGAAAGTGTTTGGTGGGAGGTTAGTTTCATAGACCAGTATTCATGATGTTAGTTTGCTTTACAAGTTTCCTGTGGAGGGTTATTTGGGGAAGGACAATGCTAGGCGTTGAGCCTCATTTAGTAATTGGATGAAACTCATCAACATTTGGTCTTGTTAACTGTAACTAAATTGTTGTTTCATTCCAAATTTTCATTGTTGATTTCATTTAATTGTGTAATAATTGAAATATTGAGAACAAATAAATAATCTGAGCTGCCACAGAATGAAATCTGTGCAAAAGGAAAAAGGAAAGAAGCCTATATTGGTTTCTAATGTTTTGAATATTCACAGCATGGAAACTTTGCATCATTTGTTTGTTTTAGGTGCTTTTTTGCCTTTTACCTGTTCTGAAATGGATTTTCATAAGTTTTGAAGCAATTTGCATAGACTTGTTACCTTAGCTCTAGCTTTCTCTTCCTTTGTATTCAAAAGGCTGGCTACTTTTTAAATCAAGCAGAAGAAAAAAAGTGTCATTCCATACTACCGAAAGTGTTATATTGATACAAGTAATGGAGCTCAATCTAATGTAGAGTTCTTAAGGTGGTACTAATTCACAGTGTTTGATCATTTAAAGATAGACCATCTAGAACAATGGGTAGATATCATGTAAATAATTTATTATATGTATGCAGCAAAGTTCTTGAAGTGGGAGTCTTGATCTGGTCATTGGCCACAGCTATTGTCCCGGTTCTTGCTGGATTTATGCCTGGACTTGTGTTCTCCAGGATATTGGTAATTCCATTGTTCCAAGGCTTTTTTTGGATTCATCTCATGTTAAGATAAAACTATCTTCTTTTTCCAAATTTAAGAGCTGAGGAAAATGTTTTTGTGGGCTGGATGAAAACTTAAATGAAATTTATCTAATTACATATTACAGGCGGTTTTCATGTTTTTCTCTAGCCTGACTAGCTTATTTCATGATTCAGGTAGGGATAGGAGAAGGTGTTTCACCATCAGCAGCCACTGATATGATTGCTAGGTAATTTGTTGACTAGGATTACGCAAGCCATACAACACAAACCTAGGAATAAACATATCTAAATCATAATTTTCTACTGTAAAAACAACTTGATAGTTTTTCAGTTTCTATCTCTGGATTTATATAATAATTTGTCCTGAGTTCATTGCTTATGCTTAAGACCAATATCTATTAAGCAATTAAAGTTTCATCAAGGTAAAAAAATTCTCCCTATGTCTACAGAGTATTGCATGTAGATTGATTTTGGTATCAGTATAGTGATTGCTCCAATTTCTTTGTGTAAAACATGAAACCATTCAGAATGATCAAATTCTGAACTTTTGGGCTTTAATTGGAGCACAGAAGTTGCTACAAGATCCAATAACTTGAATTGTGCTTAAAACATTTTCTGCTAGATATTAATTCAATCAGATGTGTTAAGTTGGAGAAAGTGTTGGATCAATTCAGTGATATTACTATAAGATGAAGTCTATTATAGTGCTATGATGACAATAGAAATTTTTGAAAAGAAAACAAATGGGGACTTAAAAATGGTGAAGGCATGTAATCTCTGTCCTTCGGTGTTGTTTGCTACCACCTACTTGTGAACACATGTTGGGAAACTAGCTGATTACTAGGGTGTCATTTTAGCCATATTGAGTGCCTTATTTTTCAAACTCGACTTGACTTTTTATGATGCTTGACCAAATCAACATTCTGCTCCACGAGAATCGCATTCTGGCTAGTCAACGCTGCACTAGCTTTAAGTAGATTATTTTGTCCTCGCAAATCGTTGTCCAGTATTTTCTCCATTACGGCTGCCTTGGCCTCTACTTTGGTCATTCTGGCATCGATTGCGGCTGTTCTATTATTTCTAGATGCCAAGTGGCCAGCCAGTTGTTTCACATTATCCTCGGTAGCCCATTGATGTAACTGAACTGGCTAGTCAGCACCTCATCTAACTCACCCCATCACTTTTCTATTGATTCAAACACCGCTTGAGGTGAAGAAGTGCTAGCCTCAGGGGGTGCCGGTGATTGTCGCTTGGATTCGGAACTGATGTCCCCTGGCTCTTCGACTTTCTCATCTTCAGGCTCAAGTATTGGTTCGGGGGAAGCTTCCTTCAGTATCATCAATTGGCGTGCTGCCTCATACTCCTTCTGTTCTTGCGCTGTTTTCACAGTTTGGAAATATTCCTTGAAGCGCAGTTGGAGTTGTGTCAGCGGCTTCCACCATTTCAATAGCTTTACTAGAACCTTCATCTTTTTTTTCTTACTCCGCTCGCGCAGCCGCTCTTTCTCTAAGCTCTCTACTTCAGCGAGCAACTAAGCTTGTTGCTCTTTGTATACCCTTTCCTCTTCATCCTCTTCCTCTTCTATTATTGTTCGGTCAGATTTGGCTGAGGTAAGAGTCAAAGATTCCGCTGGTGTCGCATCCTTAGGTGTTTGGGGCTGTATTGGATAGGTTCTTCTTTGTTTGCCCCCAGGGTGGTTTCTTTTGTAGCTCTTGGCGACACCAGCAAGATGAGAAACGTTGTTATTAGTACATCAACCCTCCTGGTTTCATCAACAAATTCAGCAGTAGTGGCAGCGGGGACTTCAGCAGCTGGCTCATTGTCTAACTCCATAGTTACGTCTATGCCGATGATGGTTTCTTCTGTGAAAATAATTCCCGCTCCTCCTCTTCTCCAATAGCAGTTGACTTCCGCATCCCACGCTGGTTAAAGGGAATGGGTTCCTTCTCAGTTGGGCTCATTAGCCTAAGTGGTGTGGCATTCTTCAGCTAGCCAGCTGGGATGATAGCTGGCGGTGACCTCATTGGCTGGGCAGCAGGCTCTCTTATAGAAAAATCCCTTTCCCCAGACACGGGACATCATTATCTCTCTCTTTCTCAATAGCCTTACCCTTCCCATTTTCCTTCCTCGTCAGCTTGCGAGGTGGGCTTTTTTTGTTTTCTTAACCATCATTTTTGTCCTCAGCTTTTTCGTAGCTGGCTCAAGAGCGCAGTGACTCGAGCGGGCAAATCAACTCGGGCACCAGTTGTCCATAGGATATATCTAAGCGGATTCTTCTGTATACTCAAATCTAAGGTAGTCCCCTGGAAATACTGGGATGTAATTTCGGAATTCTATTGATCTCAACCTCCTTAACTTAGTCCAGTTCTCTGTTAATTCCAACAGCCTCATTTTCTTGTAGTACTCCTTGGGCAGCGTTGGCTCAACTAGTTCTTCTCCTGAGCGGATACCCACCACTTTCCTTTCGTCAGTGGACAAAATTCTCTGAACTCTCCTTCCAATTTTCTTATTCAACTCATCAAAATCCCTCCTCACACTGTCGCTCACTACCTTATTGGATTTATGGTCGTTGTATGAAGACACCCTAGAGCTTTTTAGTTTGTTCGGAAAACATAGCACATACATAATTTCTCACACCTGCAATATTAGTTCAAAATTGACAAATAATTAAGAAAACAGGTTGATATATTCCCAATCTAGCTGATTTGAACCCTATTCTCTTCTCCCACAATGAAGCGAAAAAGTTCACAAAAAGCTTCATTGTGAAAAAGAGTGAAAATTACAAATCGACTTTCTGACCAGGGATTTTTGTAAAATCAAACCGTAGAAAGCTAGAAAATCAATTATTATATCTAAATCCAAAAGATAATAGACTTAGATTCACAAAAAATCAAGTCCTAGTAATTTCTCAAAAGTTTGAAGAAAAGTGGCTTTGTAATTTTTAAATACTTTTCCCCAAGTTTTCTCAAAAAAATTAATACATTACCCACATTCACTATTTTTATATTCCCTACACAATTCCCTATACCTCATAAAAAAATTTCTTTTCCAACAATTTCATAAACAAACACACCCAGTGAGTTTTCGAGCTAAATTTTTTTGATTATGTGCTATTTAGTGTGAAATCAGTGTGAATCGAGGACAAAAAACAGTAATTAGACCATGGAAAATCTAGATCTTACCTCAGATTCTCCTAAAATTAACCGCAAAGACTTCGACTTTTGAATTTGGGAAGGCGGAGAAATGGCCGTTCATAAAGCTTCTTCAGGAAGTTATACTTGGGTAAAGTTGGAAATGACTAAGTGAGGGGTATTTATAGGTGAGAGGTGCTCGCTTATGTGGGTGAGTTTTGAGGTGAGTTTTGAAGCGGTGAGTGGGTTGGCCACTAGTGTGACAATCCTTTATTATTATATTATTATTATAAATGCATAAGAGTGGGTTATCAGGGCGGAACGAGCGGGTAAAGACAAACTGTAAGGGGCATTGCATTCATCTTTTTGTTTACTTTCGCTATATGTAATGCTCGCATAATTTTTTTTTCAGGTCAATCCCAATAGAAGAGCGTTCACGTGCAGTATCATTTGTTTTTGGTGGACTGAGCGTTGGAAGTGTCTTGGGGTAACAGATAATTAACCAAAATTGGATCAATTTGTCTCAGCATGCATCATGTTTGTTTTGTTTTGCAAACGTCTATTATGGATAACAAAATGAGTTTTTGATTAGTAAGGCTGTATCCTTGCCCTCCACAGAAATGCATCATGTACAATGTTGTGTTTTTTCTTTTAAAGAGTTTCCACTCATTGCTATTTGCATTGGTGAACTGCAGGCTTCTTTTGGCTCCTTCGCTAATTGAACATTATGGATGGGAATCTGTATTTTACATTTTTGGCTCCTTGGGTATTGCCTGGTAAGATAATGTGCCAAGTTTAAATCACAATGCTTACAGTTCTTCCTGAACCTGTACCAGGAGGCTTATATATTTTTTTGAACCTAAGAAGTAAAGTCATAAAATAAGTGTACCATGTATTTATTAAAACATAATATTTATATGTGGGCAAACTTGGATAAACATATTGTGATTGTTAACTTCATTTCAGGTATTCTGGTTTTCAGATCATTAAAGAAGATCGACCATCATCTAAAGCGGTTGACCTGTCATGTATGCTATTTTTCTTAATTCTTAAGCTGTTGCCTTGTTCTCTAAATGAGAAATTTTTTTCTGCGGTTACCTCTGTGCCTTTACTTACCTTTCTTTGTTATTGCTTCCTAATTTCTAAAAGTTCATCAGTGCAAAGGTGTGTCTTTTGTATCATTAGCGCAAGTACCAATTTACTTGATCTCATGTTACTAATTTTTTTTGTCTAAACTGGATGATTAAATTTGATGAATTCATTGATTCTAGTTATAGCTCATATGAAGTCAGCATAATAGATCAAATTGAATTAAATGAAAATATGGTAAATTGCTGTACTAATATGATTGCCATTTTGCGAAGTTCCAAAGAACATGATAGAGAGCTGGACCTGATAGTCGAGAATGAGAACAAGATAGAGAGGGGGGATTAAGCCCCTAATTGTGTACAGTAGGGGAAGAAGGGATTAGGCTTGCCTTCACAATCCTAGGCTTTTTAGCCTTATACTAATAAATTCTTTTACCATAGTTGGACTTTTCTTTTATTGGGCCTCTTTTTTAGTATTAGTTTGAATATTTAAGTAGGATTAGGGTTTGTTTTTGGAACCATCTTGGGAAAACTAGAAAGTTTTGGTAATTTACAGCCAGGGGCTTCTTTGGAAAACAAGAGTCTCGTTTGAGTGTTGTTTGTTCTATCAAATGGTTCGACCTGTCAGATCCGCGGGGCTACTTGGGCAAACGAGAGTATCGTTTAATTTTTTTTGGTTCTATTAGAATATTTGTCACCTTGTTTGTATGCTTTTTCACAAGCCAAATATTACGAAATGGTTGAGCACACATTAATATGGACCTCTCAGATTTTCTTGCCATGCTCAGTGTGCTTGAGGAATGTGTGGTTCTACACCCCATCTTTATTACTTCATTATGTAATCTAAGGTTAGTTGAGGTCCATTAACTACTACAAATTTTGTCCAACCATTAGGTTGTACCACTTTAAACACTTGTTTAAAAATAGCTCGGCCTTATTGACAAGATTGAACCAAACTACCAAAATCTTACATTTAATTTCACGATCTATTGAATTGGTGTGGGACATTATGCAAATATATTTTTAGCAATCAACTTACCATATACATCATCAGTTGTTCTCACATTTGAGTAAATTTAGATTTTGGATCCAAAATGATAGGTGATATGATGCAATCATTACTTTACTTCCTTGTCTTTACACTGCAGATTTTTCTGTGTCGTTACAAGTCATTAGAACTTGTCAAAGAATAGCCGAGTTATAATGTTGTTGAGATATTTTAGATATTTAGTTTTAGATTTGTTAGATTTAGATTTAGATTTGGTCATATCCATTAGATTACGTTATTTAGATTTGAGTCTATCGAGTTTGTTTTAGGTTGCCAATATATAGGCCCCTTATTTTGGTTATCAAGAATGCAAGCTCCAGAGTTTCCACAAAATATTTTAACATGGTATCAGAGCTCTAGGAATTTTTCTAGGGTTTTGTAGTCTTCTTCAAGCAGCCTTCATCGCTGTGTTTTGTTCTGGCCTTAATTGCTGTGAATTTTTCTTCTTCACTAAGTCATGTCTGAAACCATCTTTTAAGGGAAAGAATGATATGCCTAAACACTTTGGTAGAGATAACCAAGAGAAAGAAAATAAAGACAAAAGTTTGTTGGGGACTCTTGAGAAGCCTTCTGGAACATGTTCAATGGCTCTTTCAGGTAAATCTGTGTGCACGAATGTCTTAGACAAATTATGTACCAACTCTTGGATCATGGACTCCGGTGCTACAGACCATATGACCTCCACATTTAACTCTTCCACACCTATACCCCATGTCCAAGTAATAGAAAAATTGTTGTGGCCAATGGTTCCTTAGCCACTGTTGCAGGGATTGGAGATATACATATCACACCTAGCCTTATCCTTAAAAATGTCCTCCATGTGCCCGAACTGTCAACAAGCCTTGTTTCCATTCAAAAGTTGACTCATGAATTCATGATCTTAAATGCTATGCTGTTTTTTGCTCTTCTTATTGTGTTTTTCAGGACCAGGACTCGGGGAGGAGGATTGGACTTGCTAAGGAAAGGAACGGTCTTTTACCACCTTGAACCATCTAAAAAACCTAAGAGTAATTTGCCTTCTTCTTTCCTTAGTTCCTCGAATAAAGATGCCATTTGGCTATATCACCTACGTCTTGGTCATCCTTCTTTTAGGATTTTAAAAATAATGTTTCCTCGTTTGTTCCAAGGATTAGATATTTCTGAATTTCATTGTGACATCTGTGAATTGGCAAAACATATCCGTGCATCTTTTCCTATTAGCAATAAGAGAAGTTCTCATCCTTTTCAGTTGATTCATAGTGACATATGGGGTCCTTCCACTATGCCTAATATTTCTGAGGCTCGTTGGTTTGTGTCTTTAATTGATGATTGCACTTGAGTCACATGGCTCTTTCTTCTTAAACAAAAATATGATGTTAGCATTGTTATACCTAATTTTCATTCAATGGTTCAAAATCAATTTGGGGTCAAAATAGAAAGCTTTAGGACAGACAATGCTAGAGATTATTTCAATAAGATTCTTTCACCTTACTTTCAATCACAGGGGATTATCCATGATTCATCATGTGTGGAGACACCCCAACAAAATGGGGTAGCTGAAAGAAAGAATAGGCATTTATTCAACACCACCCGAGCCTTACTGTTTCAAGGGAATGTTCCTAAGTCCTATTGGGGAGAAGCCGTTCTTACTGCCACGTATATGATAAATAGACTTCCCTCCCATGTGTTAGAAAACAAAAGCCCCATAGAGGCGCTTCATAGCTTTTACCCTCACTTCAGAACCTCAAATGGCCTCACTCGTAGGGTATTTGGGTGTACCGCCTTTGTTCATGTCCACAAACAACATAGAGGGAAGCTAGACCCTAGAGCCATCAAATGTGTTTTCCTCGGTTACTCATCTATTCAAAAAGGATACAAATGTTACAACCCCTTGACCAAAAAATTTTACATCTCTGCGGATGTCACTTTCACAGAAAATAGACCTTTTTTCAAGTCCTCTATTCAGGGGGAGATTTCAATGATGGAAGATAGTACTTGTGAGTCTTTCGAACCACTTAGAACCCTTGACCTTCCGAATGTGCCACCCCGTAGTCACTCAGAACAAAACCCTCCTCATGTTCCGGTTGAACCTGAGTCCTCTGAATCAGTCACATTTGAGTCACCCGATCCTGTCACTAAACCCATATCAATCTCCTTCTCCAACCAGCATCACTCACAATTTTCCAAAGTTTCCTCAGGTGTATTCAAGGAGAAAAACCGTTCCTGAACTGACACAAGTCCAAGAATCCAATCCAAATTCTGAGAAAGAAATCACGGTAAGATCAGATCCACCTTTACACACAATCTGTTGAACAATCCACTGATTCAACTACTGCTCTGGATCTTCCCATTGTTGTTAGAAAAGAAACCAGAGAATGCAATAAACGACCACTCTATCTTCTATCTCACTATGTCTCTTTTAAGCGCCCATCGCCAGCCCAAAAGTGATTCATTATGAGTTTGAACACCATTGCCATCCCTCACAATGTGTCTGAAGCATTGTCAAAAAGGGAATTGAGGGATGCTATGAGAGAAGAGATGAATGCATTAGAGAAGAATAAAACATGGGAGATCATTGATAAACCAAAGGGAAAAAACATTGTTGATTGCAAATGGATTTTTACGTTGAAGTACAAGGCTGATGGATAAGATATAAAGCAAGGTTAGTAGCCAAAGGATACACTCAAACTTATGGGGTGGATTATCAAGAAACATTTGCTCCAGTTGCAAAAATGAACACAGTAAGAATTTTGTTATCATTGGCTGCTCACTTTAATTGGCAACTGCCACAATATGATGTTAAGAACGCATTCCTCCATGGTGACTTAAATGAGGAAATCTACATGAACATTCCACCAGGATTTGAAGGGGACACTGGTAACAAGGTGTGCAAACTGAGAAAAGCCCTTTATGGGTTAAAACAATCTCCTAGAGCATGGTTTGGCAGATTTGCAAAAGTCATGAAGGAATTTGGGTACAAACAAAGCCAAGGTGACCACACACTTTTTCATTAAGCATTCAGCTGTAGGGGGAGTGATTGCTCTTTTAGTCTATGTGGACAACATCATAATGACTGGAAATGATAAGAAAGAGAAGCATGAATTAAAGCTGAGACTAATGAAAGAATTTGAAATAAAAGAACTAGGGAAATTGAAGTATTTCCTCGGTATTGAGGTGGCATATTCCAGACAAGGGATCTTCATATCTCAACAAAAGTACGTGCTTAATTTATTGGCAGAAACAGGGAAGATTAGGTGTAAGCCAATTTCTACTCCAATAGATCCAAACTATAAATTGGGAGAAGTTAAAGAAGAACCAGCTGTGGATAAAAGAATGTACCAGAGGTTGGTTGGCAGACTTATATACCTTGCTCACACTCGACAAGACATAGTATATTCTGAAAGTTTTAACAGCCAATTCATGCATGATCCAAGAGAACCTCATCTTCAAGCTGCTTACAGAGTACTGCACTACTTGAAAGGCAATCCAGGGAAATGAATCTTGTTCAAAAGGAATTAAACTCTTACTTTGGAAGCCTACACCGATGCTGACTATGCTGGCTCCCTAGTGGATAGAAGATCAACTGCAGGGTATTGTCTTTTCTTGGAGGTAACCTAGTGACATGGAGGAGCAAGAAGCAGAATGTAGTAGCAAGGTCATCAGCAGAATCACAATTTAGGGCAATTGCTCAAGGATTATGCGAATTACTTTGGCTGAGGATCATTTTGGATGATTTGAGAGTCAAATGGGAGGGTCGTATGAAGCTTTACTGTGACAATAAGTCAGCTATTAATATAGCTCATAATCCTATACAACATGATAGGATAAAGCATATTGAAATTGATAGACATTTCATTAAAGAAAAACTGGAGGAAGGGTTAGTATGTATGTCCTATGTTCCATCAGAGAGACAATTAGCCGATGTTCTAACAAAAGGGCTGAACAGTTCGAGTTTCCATGATCTTGTTGTGGACAAAAAATTGTGTTATTTTTAATAAACACAAAATTTGTACAAATTATATTTGATTTGAATTTAAAGCGGGTCCTATTCTCTAAATGGTCCTTTGATTCTCCTTCCGGGCCGATTTGTTTTCCAACTTAGTTTTCGATGGCTTTTTTAATCCAAAGAGGTTTGGTCTTCAATTTGACTTTTCTGGCTTTTGGAGGATTTTGGTCTCCGTGCGGGCGATTTGATCGTCAAGCTTTGGATTTGTTGTCTTCTTTGGACAATCCGCGACTTTGACATTTGTTTTGGCTTTGCCGCTTTTGGGGGACTTTGGTCTCCGTATTGGCGATTTGATCATCGTCTTTGGATTTGTTGCCTTCTTTGGACGATCCGACTTTGACATTTGTTTTGACTTTGCCGCTTTTGGAGGAGTTTGGTCTCCATGTTGACGATTTGATCATCGTCTTTGGATTTGTTGTCTTCTTTAGACAATTCGCGACTTTGACATTTGTTTTGGCTTTGCCGCTTTTAGAGGACTTTGGTCTCCGTGTTGGCGATTTGATCATCGTCTTTGGATTTGTTGTCTTCTTTGGACGATCCGCGACTTTGACATTTGTTTTGGCTTTGCTGCTTTTGGAGGACTTTGGTCTCCGTGTGGGCGATTCGATCGTCGGCTTTGGATTTGTTTTCTTCTTTGGACGATCCGCGACTTTGACCTTTGCTTTGGCTTTGCCGCTTTTGAAGGATTTTGGTCTCCGCATGGGCGATTTGATCGTCGGTTTTGGATTTGATGTCTTCTTTAGACGATCCGCAACTTTGATCTTTAGTTTGCCTTTTCCGCCTTTTGGAGAGCTTTAGTCTCCGTGTGGGCGATTTGATCCTCAGTTTTGGATTTGTTTTCTTCTTTGGATGATCCGCGACTTTGACCTTTGCTTTGGCTTTGCCGCTTTTGGAGGACTTTGGTCTCCGCATGGGCGATTCGATCGTCGGTTTTTTATTTGATGTCTTCTTTAGACGATCCGCAACTTTGATCTTTAGTTTGCCTTTTCCGCCTTTTGGAGAGCTTCGGTCTTCGTGTGGGCGATTTGATTCTCAGCTTTGGATTTGATGTCTTCTTTGGACGATCTGCAGCTTTAATCTTTGATTTGCCTTTTCCGCCTTTTGGAGAGCTTCGGTCTTCGTGTGGGCGATTTGATCCTCAACTTTGGATGTGATGTCTTCTTTGGACGATCCGCAGCTTTGATCTTTGATTTTCCTTTTCCGCCATTTGGAGAGCTTCGGTCTTCGTGTGGGCGATTTGATCCTCAACTTTGGATTTGATGTCTTCTTTGGACGATCCGCAGCTTTAATCTTTGATTTGTCTTTTCCGCCTTTTGGAGAGCTTCGGTCTCCGTATGGGCGATTTGATCCTCAGCTTTGGATTTGATGTCTTCTTTGGACGATCCGCAGCTTTGATCTTTGATTTATCTTTGCCGCTTTTGGAGGGTTTTGGTCTCCGTGTTGGCGATTTGATCATCGTCTTTGGATTTGTTGTCTTTTTCGACGATCCGGACTTTGATCTTTTAGGAGGTAGATTTGGTGCTCCGTAACGCTTTTGGTGGCGTGTCCCTTTGACTTTTGGATCGAAGAGGGCCGAGTTTGCGCCTTTTATGAAGAACGCCATGAACACCTCGAAGCTTTGAGAGAAACTTTGAAGACCTTCCCTTGGCTTTGACGAATTCCTCGACGACTTTGAGAGCTTTGATCCTTCCTCCGGCTCGGACATACGACGAAGAACGTTAACTTCATCGATTCGCCAACCAATATCGGATCATTTATCCAAATCGGTGACTTTTCGACGAAGAACGCTTCGAAGGACACGAAGAACAATGAAGAACATTGCAGAGAGTCTAGAGAGACTTACCTTTGCGCGAGTCTTCAAATGAACTTCGGTCATGACTCTTATTTTTAGGGGATGGGTGGCCTTGGCTTCCTTTTCCATCAGATGTTTTCCATTCTTGATAGATTTGATTGTGTACCTTCCTTTCTCGCCAAGATCTTTATATCATTGTCTTTTTTCGGAAGATATTAATTTATATACTAACTTTATTGACAAGATTAATTTATTTTGCTGCCAAATTTATTATGGCTCTATTTATGCACGTAATATTTGTACGATATCTTCCATTTTAAGCAGATTTTTGCATTAATGGTTGATATTTATTGTAAAAAAATTAACATGTGTGCATAATTAAATACCATATATTTATTTTATTGAAATTTTATTTTCTTCCAAAATATATGATTTTTAATTGATTTTAAACATATATTTTTAGTGTCTACACTTGTTTCCAAGCTGGGAATGGAAGACATCTATTCCTCAGCTTGAGGGGGAGTGTCAAAGAATAGTTGAGTTATAATGTTGTTGAGATATTTTAGATATTTAATTTTATATTTGTTAGATTTTGATTTAGATTTGGTCATATCCATTAGATTACATTATTTAGATTTGAGTCTATCGAGTATGTTTTAGGTTGCCTATATATAGGCCCCTTATTTTGATTATCAAGAATGCAAGCTTTAGAGTTTCCGCAAAATATTTTAACAAAACTTGCATAGCATTGGATTTTTGTGAAGCAAAACTTACCTATATTTTATAAGAATAGAATATGTGCCAGGGGCATTATACTAATTCTTAAAATCATATAAGAATGCAATGCTCACAATCATTGAAGACTTGTATTTGTCTTAGATTTGCAATTACAGTCCTATATTTCTAGTTGTGATAGTTTGAATTAATGTCCATCATGAGTACTCAAGCTTTATCCTCCCTTGCATGAAATACTGTAATTTATTTTCTGCAGGGCAGCTAAATGATCATATGAATGAGTTGCAGAGTTCCTCTATTAAAGAGCTGACCGGCTCACTGAGGGTTGGAATCAAGTTAATTTTAGAACTTGGTGAAATTGCAAAATTTTGAGTTGTCAGTTCCCATGACCATCTGTTGATAATTTGCAGGATGTACCTTGGAAGGAGTTTTTCAAGTCTAAGGCTGTGTGGGCAATGATCTATGCTCACTTCTGTGGGAGTTGGGGTCACTATACATGTTTGTCTTGGCTTCCTACATATTTCAGGTGCATGCATTATTGATATACTTAAACAAACATTTGATTGTCTCACAACCTCTTCCCACTAATTTTCAAAGCTTTACAATTTGATTAGATGAATTCGTTGTGGTTAGATGAGTCTATTGATTGTAAACTGATATTAATCTATTATCTCAATCTCAATCTACATGTGATCAGATTACATTAAATATATATATACAACATAGTAGAATACTCTTGAGCTCTCTTTGATAAATGCTAGTTAATATTCTCTACAAGTTACAATGTCTCTGGGAACCATCTGCATCCTTAATTATACTACACATTCCCATACAACTAACAGTGTCAATGAAATGATAGAACATATTTCACTTGGATCTCAAGTCATAAACCCACGATTATTTTTTAATATTACTGTAAGTACACAGTTGGAATCATCCATGATAGCTTTCATGTTTTTTATATCATCACAAGTTTGGAAAGCTGAACAGATTTGATGCTATTCACATTGTTTAATTGATTTATGATATTTATTCCGTTGAACGAGTAACAATTGCACAGAAGATTTTTGTCCATTAATCTGAAGACTGTAAATACTTAACATGGTATATAATTATTTTTGCCCTTCTGCAACCAGAACTAGATGGGAGATGATATTGCCAACCATAAAGCAGTTGTCTATTTATATTCTGTATACATGTTGAGAATGAAATTGTGGCCTAACATTCCTTGCAGTGAGGAGCTGAACCTTGATCTTACAGAAGCTGCGTGGGTACGTATGTTGCTTATTTCTTGAACGTTTACGTATGTGGTGTTTGATTCAATTTTAAGGCATAGATGACCATTTGAAAGATGCTTCACTATTTCATATTGGAACACTAAGCTTGATCTCTCTGTTGCATGCCTCATGGACATTGTATCCTAGATCTCTACTTCCTGTGTTCAACCTTAAATGCTATGTTGTTCAACTTGATGGATGATTTGCTATCTATTCTTTTATCTACTTGATCAACAAGACTCGTTGATATGTTTTAACATAAATTAGCCCCTGTGATAGTCACACTTTTCAAATAATCACTGTGGGGAAAACAACATATATTAAACCTTTGTATGTTCTAAACAATCCAGTTTACTTCCAAACTCAGGGGTTGTTTGTGCATTTATTGAGATATATATTAGTAAATCGAAAGGGCTACCTATGTAATTATTTTTCATAGGGGAAGAGGGATTGTTTTAAAGTTGTTGAGGACAATCTTATTATCTTCTAATATAGAGCAAAATTCAATATTGGTCTCAATCAAATTATTTTTTTCATTTTTGGTCCCATTGAAAAATAATTATCGAAAGGGCTACCTTCGTAATTATTTTTCATAGGGGAAGAGGGATTCTTTTAAAGTTGGTGAGGATAATCTTATTATCTCCTCATGGCCAATTTATGTTATATTATGACCAAAATTGATGAGTTTTCTATATTAGGACAAAAATTGATTAATTTTAGTTATATTGAGACCAAAATTGATTTTTTCCCGAAAAATAATTATCAAAAACAAATCTTTCACTCACTGAGAAGTGAAAACCTGACCAGGTCATCAAAAAGACTGTTAAATCTTTCCGAAGTGAGAGAAGGAGGGAAGGCGCGCGGAAACTAAGATAACAGCCAGCTGAAAAACGTTAGAAAGATCGATTCTTTGGGATCCTTTCTTTCTTCAAACGGAAGGAACAGAGATAGAATCGGACCGATTCCCGAAATGCCTTTCATTGGTCCTATGAAAAAAAAAATCATCATTTTTTGTTCCACTGATGAAATTTCAACGTACTGTGCTGACGTGGTTATAACGAAAGCTGATGTGGCATGTGATCCGGAACAAACACGGTTGTGTTAAATATAACATGGGCGCGTTTATTCGATCCAATATATTGTGTTGATATTTTTTATCGCCGTTGAGGTGGATTTAGTTTTTTGGCGGCATGTCCTTTTGACTTTTGGATCGAAAATGGTCGGCTTGATGCTTTTGACGAAAACGCGACAAACGTCTTAAAGCTTTGGGATGAACTTTGGATGTTCTTCCTTGGCTTTGACGGAATCTTCAACGGCTTTTGGAGCTTTGATCTTTTCTCCGGCTTGGGCATATGACAATGAACGTTAACTTCATCGATTCGTCAACCAATATTAGACTATTTGTCCAAATCAATGACTTTTCGACAAAAAACACGTTTCGAAGGACACGACGAACGCGAAGACAAAGAGTCTAGAAAGACTTACTACTGCGCGAGTCTTTAAATGAACTTCGATGTGTCAAATGAATTGGCCAAGACTCCTATTTATAGGGGTGATGCATCGGCTTTCTTTCTGGATGATGCCACATGGCGCGTCCCGATTGGCCAATTGAAGGATTTTATAATCTTTCATTTTTCATCAGACGCCGTTTTCCATTTTGAAAGATTTAATTGTATGTCTTTTTTTTTTCTCTTCTAGATCTATATATTATCTTCTTTCTCAAAAGATATTAATTTAAAAACTTCATTTATCGACGAAATTAATTTATTTTGCTGCCAAATATATTATGGCTCGTAATATTTGTGATATTTTCCATCTTAAGCATATTTTTGCACTAATGATTGATATTTATTATACAAATATTAAATGTGTGCATAATTAAATATCACATATTCATTTTATCGAAATTTATTTTCGTCCGGTATATGATATTTGATTTAATTTAAGTATTTTAATTTTTTAATTCCTACAATAATAATAATAATAAAGAAGAATTAAACAAAGGTGTGTTAGTTTGTCAAACTTACCAAAATTTCTATTATATATCAAAATTTTTTCCCCAAATCATATACATAATTTTCATTTTATATATTATACTAAAAATTATTTTATATTTGAAACATCACATCAACACCTATCTATATCACATCATACAAGTATTCAAATTCAAAACTTTTACATCCCAACTCAAAATCCAAACCCCAAACAAACATACCCTAAATAAAACCATCCATTGTGGATAGACATCCCACAACAAGATTCAACTTTTTCCATGAGCACAGGATTGAATCATCCAACGATAAACAAGAAACTATGGCTTTGTTCTCCCAGCACCATTTATTAATTGCGTTTTTCCAAAATAATACTAATAAAAAACACTTCCATAAAAAAAAAAGTAAAAAAACTTCAAATACTTATTATAAAAAATCAAAAAGTTAAATATTAATCTTTAAATAATATATTTGATGATTCTGAAACAATTCCACATATTCACAACAAAAATCATTTTATATAAAAACCCTAAGTGAACGGGTCTAATACCACTTGTTGGAGAAATTTTATATGTAATGCACTCGGCACATCTTCAATCCATATATACTACAGCGAATTATATCATAAAACCTTAAATAAAAATATACCTAGATCCATGGAGAGTTCTTCGATACAGAATCACGAACTCAAACTGTTGGTATTATGGCCTTCCTTAACTAAATTACCGAATGAGTCCTTTGTACTCTATTCTAATGGGGAGAATAGAACATGATTGTGATGTAGTGTGTTGGAGACCATAATTGAATACCATTTATATAGTGATCAATAAATAACCCATAAGCTATTTAGAATAAGCCCAATTTATCTCATATCAAGATAATATTAATTTACTTATTCCATAATTAGATCACGTTATTTAAGTCAATCAAATGAATTATTGACTGTTTCCATAATTAGATTGCGCAATTTAAGTCAATCAAATAAATTATTAATTGTTTCATAATTAAATTACGTAATTTAAGTCAATCAAATAAGTTGAAGTATTTAATATAATTGTATTATTTATCCATATATAGATAAAGAGATATATATTCTCCTAACAACAGGCTCATCCTCCTCCTCCTCTTAAGAGATCTAGCCATGGTTCATCTACATTCTTGGGCATCGTTTATGCCTTGGATGATGTATCTATACTTGTCTCATCCATATCTATTAAAGGCAATTCCTTCTGTTCATTCAAGCTCATATATGGTTGGAGGGCTGCTGCTTCTGCTTTTCCAAGACCATCTGGAGCAGGGGACAATACCTCATTTCCCTGTGGGGTCTCATGGTATAAGAGGGGCAGGTTGGTACGTTTAAAGTACCTGTTTAGTCAGTCGCCTCTCAAACCACAAGAAGTATTACTATCTCTTCACCTCAGGCCAAACTCGCGTGAAACAACTACTCCAGGGGCCAGTGGAATAGGATGTCCTCAATTTCCTTGGGGTGCAGTCCCAGGGATAGGCCTCTATTATATCATCCACAAAGGCTTTTCGGGAATGTTGTGGGAATAGGACGGCTTCCACAAGCCGTACATCCCGGAAGGAATTAGCAGCCACTTGAGATGCAACAAGATCATGCATTACAAAAGCAACGAGAAAGGCCACAGGTAATCCACCTCATTGGAATCTACCTGTGGATCTTGATGCCATCACATAAGCTGTGTAGGGTATATGGAAATCTAGTAGATTGCCGGCGAGGCCATGTTACAAAAGTCTTTTCTAGACGATGTGGTCGAGGAATATCATTTTCCACAAAATGCTAGAAATCCCGGAGTTTATATTGTTTTCTTGAGAGGATCCCATTTAACTATTTTATTATTTTTATTTTTGATAACGTGGAAACCTGCAGTCGTTACCCGAAAGTGCGCACTGGGTAAACTTCTGGTCGAACCTAATACCTTACAAACTAAGCCCGACAAGGCAAGTCACACTAAGTGAACCATGTGTGGCAGGTGGACCTGAAGGCGTCGGGGTTTAAACCCATGATCTCACGGTCACAAATTCACTCACCACACCACCAGGCCATCCCTTACGGGACAGATCCCATTCAACTATTGAGCATATAAGTCGTAGTACGGCTCAATGCAAAGGAGGATTCAGTAATAACAATTGGTAAACTCCAGTTGTTCTTTAGTTGTTCTTTTTGTCTTTAACAGGTTCGGCTTTTAGCTTGTACACAAGCCTAAACCAAATTCACTTCAGAATTGGGCAGGTCTGGAGTGAGAATTTCATGAAAGATTCTACGGTGCTCTCCCGGAGTTAAAGATTTTAGACTTGATGAATTTGCAAAAACGAACAGATGAATTTGTGGGAAAATTTCTGGAGTGGTTCAAGAAGCCTAAAGGTTGTTGTTAGGTCCGGATTTCTGAGAATAATAGTAACTGGCAATTAACAATATACATCCTTACCTGAGGGAGAAGTTAGCTCTTGAAAAATACTAGGATTTGAAGCAGCTTACCTCTAAGGCAGTCAAAGCAGATTAGCTACTTCGAGAAGCTCAAGCTGCTCAGGGTCAGCGGTTACGCTCAGGTACTCACTTGGTACAAGTTAAAGAACATGACGAGAATGATAGTTCTGAAAGGGTTGATGATTTGTGCTTAGCTGAGATCGCATACATGCTCAGCCCTTAAGCCGACCCAAAAGAAAGAGGTAAATCCAAAATTACAATCTTCTTTTGATATTGCTAAGATTGTCCAGAATTTTAGTATTTGTTGAAGGATAACCAAATTCAGCTAAAAGATAGCCAGGAGTTCTCTACGGTTGAGAAGTTAGCAGGAAAGCCATTCTGCAAATGACATGAATTTTTTGGACATAAAGTTAGTAATTGTGCTGCCTTCTGGAATGTAGTCCAGAAGGCAATTAAGGAGGGCTGCCTCAGGCTGGCTGATCAAACTAAAATGAAGGTTGATATTGATCCATTTTCAGCCTCTATAAATACTACTTGTATGCAAGGCAGGGAAGAAACTCTCTGGCTAGGACAATAGGAATCAGGATAAATGAGTCTCGAAGGAATGTTTTTGAGAGGCTTGGCCGAAGTAGAAGGTCCCTGAGAAAGATACTACTGTGGGACAGATTGTCACCATAAAATACGGTGGCAAAAGTCAGTTTCTCCAAAGGTGGTGATCTGTGGCATGTGATGTCCATAAATTGTGTGGTTATATACCTTGTCCTACCCGAAGACCTGATAATATACCTGTAGATGGGAGTTGGAAGGTAAATTGTGCTTCAAATAATAATAACTTTTGTCACTGTCCCAAAAAATGCGAAAGCAACATCAATGCTGAGAGTGGAGGATAGAACAAGAAGCTACACAACAGAAACTGAAGGTCCAGTGGAGTTAGAAGGGTATGGAATTAAGGAAGAAGGATTCATGGTATAAATTAAATATATGTAGAGTGGAAACCAAACTGCCAGTCTTTTGGAATTGGGTCCTCTAGTCAGACAATTCTTAGAACCACATGATTTGATTCAATTCATGGAATAGATGAAATTCCGGAGGATAGCATTGTTTGGAGCATTGGATGACGATGATGTGGAGTCGGATGCTAATTCAGATTTTAATGCAACTGATCAAAATTTGAAAAGAGCTTTGCTTTGTTAAAATGATTTCACAGTCAATACCATAGGAATTATCCCGTGGGAATTAAGTGCTCCACAACTTCAGCCTCAGTTCATTTAGGGAGATGTGATGGTTGACTATATGAGGCCAGTGTTTGGGTGGATGAAGCAGAAAATCAGCAAGGAGGAAAGGTGGAGGAAGTTGTGTTTGGAAAACCTTCCGAGGGGAATTCTCGATATTTTAAGCCTCTTTTTGACCGTATCGTTGGATGGTTGTACTATTGGAACATAATGACATTATCTACATTGTGGAAGATGGGGAAGACAATAAATGATCACATTCCAATAGCTATGAAAACTACTGATTTTCGGAAATGCCTAAAAGGTAGCAGCGGTGGTAGTTTTTTTTTTTTTTTTTTTGTTTTTTTAACTCCACACACTTACGCAAGCTCTTGGGATGGAACTCGGGTCATAGCCCCCAAAGGGGGATGCATCACCACTTAATCTACAAAGACTTAGACTTGGCAGGAGGTTGTAGTTGCTGACATTGCAGTTGGAGAATAATTTGAAGTGAAAGGAGAAGTGGCCCTTCTAAGTAGAAGCCCAAGGAGAATTGAGGGTGGCCATTCCAATTTTCCTAGAATATTGATGCCATTTGTTCATGTTTGTCCGGAGATTTTGTTTGCATTTTGTGTCATTATTTTAGTTTCTTGTTTTTGTGTTATTTATCAGTCCTCCATTCAATTATCAAATTTTAATTTGTTCTTAATATATTATAAGTTTCGTCCTTTTGATCTACTAAAAATTCACACACGGCAGCTTGTCCTAGAAACTTGGTAAAGTTAGCCCGAGAACCCATTTTAGTCCATCCGGCCAGCTCAACATTCTTGTAGGCCACCAATTGGAATTTTCTAGTGCCAACAAGTTGGTTGCACATGATTTATTGATTCCAGTGTCCTTATCTATCTGCACTTTATATCACAGCTAGTTAGTTACATATTATTAACATACCCTTATGTTGACATCCCTATCCTTCCTCTTTTTATATTTTAATTTTTATATGATTTTATACTTTTCCAATATATGCATATATTATAATGGATTCAATCTCATTTTCTTCTTAATATTTTATTAATGTTTTGAGTTTAAAACATTGAATTTTATTATATTAAAGCTTATAATTTATATTTTATTTTTGCTGAATCAAATTTTATAATTTTCCAGTTTCGATAGTATTTAATAATTTAAGGTTCTTGTTTTGCACATATACTATGTTTCATGCTATCCATTTATATACCTTGTGGTATATGGAGGTGCCTGGTAGAATTGAGCAACATTATTCCAGAATTGCCTGTCTTTAGTTGAGTTGACTAAAGGAACCAACTTGCTCAATCGAATGCAATTGCAGGTCTCAATTCTTCCTCCACTAGCTGCAATCTTCGTCACCAGCTTTGCTTCTCAATTTGCTGACAGCTTAATCGCCAAAGGTGTTGAAACTACAGTGGTATGTTGGGGTGGGATGCTTGCTTATTTGGAAAGTGTAGGATTCACATATGTAAAAATGAGCTCAAATACTTAGTTCCACAATGCATATGCTTACTTCCCTCTGAATTGGGAATTTTTGCTTCTTGATTAATGAAAAGCCAGATCTTGCACTCAAATTCTGGCCATTTTCTTTCCAGTTTGTTCCCAACAAACTTATTTGAAGCTAGGTGTTTTCTTTCGATAGAACTGGTGTCCTTTCCATCTCTAAATTTATTTGAAGCTAGGTGTCATAATGATTGAATATTCAAATGTTCTTTGCACTTCCAGTATCTTGTGGTATGGTACAATTAATATCTTATCTTCGTGAACTTCACTCTGTAAATATTACTCACCTTCTCAGCTAATGATGGAAACTGAATTAAATCATTTTCTATTTGGAATAGCTCGTCTGTCTTTTAAAAAAGAGTTTTGGAAAATCTTTTTTTGGCTTAACAGGTGCGGAAAATTTGCCAATCAATTTCATTCATGTCTCCTGCAACTTGTATGATTCTTTCCTCTGTGGACTTAGGACTGAGTCCATGGGAAGTTGTAGCAATACTTACAGGAGGTCTAGCACTATCAAGCTTTTCCCTATCTGGTAATCATCCCTACAATCCATTCAAATATGATCCGTTCTTCTGCTAAGATATTGCCTTCATAAATTTTATTGTTGTCTTCTGTTGTTGCAGGACTCTACTGTACCCATCAAGACATGTCACCTGAATATGCAAGTGTCCTTTTGGTAGGCATAAATGGTTGACCTCATATGCATAATATATGTCTGGCAGTTTATCGCAGATATGTCCTAGATTTTGCGGATGTTTTCAGCATGATGATGTAGGCTTTATACTCAACTCTGAGCATTCAAGCTTGCTAGACCAACTGATGACATCATGGATTGTTGTGCTTGATTGTTTGTTTAATTAATATCTACTGTAGAGTTGGTGGGACAGTGTTTTTAACTCATTCTTGCTTACTTCTTATTAGAGCGTAGGCTGTGGCTACAATCTGATTCTCCATCAGGTTGCAGACTAATTTAATTGAACATTATTGGCTGGGAATTGGAACGTAAAATTTTTGGCTTCCTTTATCTTCACCGTGTGAATTTGTGCTAGCACGTCATGCTTCCTGCATTCATTGTGTTTCATTATTTTGGTTTGCGACTTGAAGGTGAATCACAGCCTTGACAGTTGTAACAGGACATGATTTCTTCATACAGTATCTAGAAACTGACCATATATGCATTCCTGCAGGGCATTACTAACACTATTGGAGCAATACCAGGAATTGTTGGAGTTGCTCTTACCGGCTACCTTCTTGACTCGACTCACTCATGGGGGGTAAGGCCTCTTCTCAACCACAAACTAATTGGTTACTTTTCACTATTTATCTGAACTACAAAATGTAAATGGGCTGTTTGTTCTGTATTTTCCGTAACTGGTTCAATATTTGACACTCGAAACGTATGTATTCTCTAGTAGTTTACTTTACTCATTTGTGTTTCTTCTTCCAGATATCGCTGTTTGCTCCGTCAGTCTTCTTCTACCTCACAGGTACGGTCACATGGTTGACATTTGCCAGCAGTAAACCACAAAATTTCTCCAAGAGAGACTGAGAAAACTAAACCTCATTAGTTTAGGCCTTTGAACATGAATTCTTCAATTTATTTTTTTTTCGTTGGCCGGGTATGATCGGGTGCGGTGGCAGAATTTTTTCATCATAACAGCGTTAGAATTGATTTGTATAGATATCATGTATTACACAGATAGCCTTGGGCTGTTACCAGAGTAGCTATATTTCTTCCTGAGCTGTATGTAAATGTAAGAATATTGAAAATAAGTGAACAATACTACATTGATGGGCAAGAAATAGTTTTTGTTTTGCGGTATTGGATTTTTAGTCGAGATTTGAATAGTAAAAAATTTGAATTTAAATAGTTGTACGATGTGATATAAATAGATTTTGATGTTTTAAGACAAAAAAAATGTGTTATTTTAAATAAACACAATTGTACAACGTTTAAATTTAAATTTAAATTTTTGCTGGTCCTATATTCTCTATTTGGATCATTTGATTTTTTTTCGGGGTCGATTCATTTTCTGACTTGAATTTGGATGGCTTATTCAATCCGAAGGGATTTGGTCTTCGGTTTGGCATTGCCGGACTTTGGTATCCGTGTGGGAGATTTTGATCCTCAACTTTGATTGGATGAATTTGGGGCTTTGATCTTTGATGAAGAGGATTTGGTGTTCCATAACAGTTTTGGCTGCATATCCCTTTGACTTTTGGATCGAAAAGGGCCGGGCTTGATGTTTTTTATGAAGAACGCGACAAAAGCCTTGAAACTTTGGAATGAACGTTGGAGTCTCTTCATTGGCTTTGACGAATTCTTCAATGAATTTTGGAGCTTTAATCCTTCCTCCGGCTTGGGTATATGACGAAAAACGTTAATATCATAGATTCATCAATCAAAATTGGATCGTTTGTCCTATCGGTGACTTTTCGACGAAGAAGGCTTCGAATGCTACGAAGAATAATGAAAAACATTGTAGAAAGTCTCTTACTCAAATTTTCAAATAAACTTTGGTGTGGAATGAATTGGCCAAGACCCCTATATCTATAGGGGAGGGCTAGCCCATCTTTCTTTTCGGATAGTGCCACGTGGCGCGTCTTAATTGACCAACAAAAAGATTGTATGATCTTTTAATTTCTATCGAATGTTGTTTTTCCACTATTAAAGGATTTGATTGCCGTATTTTCCTATGTTGTCAAGATCTTTATATTATTTTTTTTCCGAAGATATTAATTTATATATTTCATTTATTGACGAGATTAATTTATTTTGTTGTCAAATTTATTATGGTTCTATTTATGCATATAATGTTTGTAAGATATCTTCCATTTTGATATTTATTATACAAAAATTAATTTATATGCATAATTAAATATCATATATTTACTTTATTGAGATTTTATTTTTTCCCCAAAATTTATGATTCGACGTCCCAAGATCGAATCATAAATTCCAGTAAGCTTGGCCATCCCAATATTGACCAGTATTTATAGAGGGCTAAATCTGATCGCTGATTCATCATGTACTAGAAAATTTCAGATGACACTTCATCTCTATTTTTTGACCAGATGGATCGCTGAGTATTTTTAGACCCACTTCGGCGTGTGGAAAGGAATCCGCGGTCCGGGGATGGTGAAGCACTCTGGGGCTGTTAGTGCTCGTGCATATAGAGCAGATGTTGCATGCCAAAAATCTTCCGCGGTGACTACTTTCGTTGGACTTGTACCATGATCACGAAAGACTTCGACGTACGATTTGTTGATGATGGGAAATGTGAAGACTACGAGAAAGAATACTTTATCTCCATTCACTCTTGTTTTCTGACTTTACGAGATGGATTTTGATGCTTCTTGGAGCTGTACAGTCCCCACTATTTTTTCCATTAATTCGGTTTTTTCCAAGAAATTCTCAGAATTCTTTTGAAAGACATCCGTTGCTGCGCTTTTGAGGAAGGTTATCAACATTGGCACCAAAGCACTCACTTGAAGTATTCAACCGAAGTTGTACTTCCACGCATTCCTGCGGTTCCGAGGGGCTTTTCTTCCGATGTTTACAAGAAGTAGTAGACTCAAGTCTGTGGGTCTTTCTTGGATGAGTATATTCCGCCGGTACCAAAGACCGCCGATCAGACCAAGCCATCAGATAAAATTCGAAAGATGTTGTTCCTTATCCCGGGTGTTCCTAAAATGAACAAAGGAAATTCAAGTACTCCAAATATTGGTTCTTCAAAGCGGGCGGGACCTTCTACCTCCGAGAGAAGCAGTAGTGAGCATGATGTTCATTGGAAACGAGTTCGTTGAGGTCCTAATATTATCAGCCTGTCAAGTCCTCGTTTGAGCCGGCACCTTGTGTTGATGAAAAGACGGTGAGCAAGATTCCATTGTAGAGCCGATTGAAGAAAGCAGATGTGTTTGCCCTGAGTGAGTAAAGGATGCTCCAACCAAATCCACAATCGTTCAGTCCGTCGTGCTCGTGGTTTCAGAATTTTGCGGCGCGGATTTTTGTAAAGGTTATCCAACGCGAGTATGTGGGGAAAGTATGGTCGGATCTTCGGAGCAAGCTTTTGAGGACACCAACTCATTCGCTTTTCTCGATCAAGGAAGGGTTGACATAGTGCTTCAATCAATGAAAAGCTTTATGTACTCTGAAATTTCTCATATTGAAGATCGAGTCAAGGTCCTTTTTTATGACACTGCATCTTTTGACGAGGCTTGTTCCGACTCAATTGACATTGTATCATTGGCGGCCCGCGATCAACAGATTTCCGAGATCAAAGATAGATTGCCAAGCCTTGAAACGAGACAAACTGTGGAGAGCGAAATCATCAAAGAGTTAGAGAAGTGTGTAGAGACTATTGACGTGAAACTTCGCACTTTACAATAGCAAAAAAGAGAGAGTATTTCTCTTGACAAGCATTGCTGAAGTTAAAGAATAAATTCGTTGCTGTAAAGAATGTCCTTGCACCATACAAAAAATACTTAAAATTTTAGAAAAGTTGTTAGACATTAGCAAAGAAAAAGAGTTGTACGCTCTTGATGTTTAAGATTAATTAGTACTCTTCATTTTGATTATTGATTAATAAATTTGAATATATATATATTTTAACTTTTTTCTATATGTACATGTATGTTTATTCTATTGATCAATATATATATTTAGTATCATATTAACAATTTTTTTTTTTTTTTTACAATACAAGCACTTCTAACCTTTTTTTTTTTTTTAATCCAAATCAACTCCTTTCTTTTATTATTATTTTTTTACAAGTCAATTTTTTTTTTTCAAATCAACTTCTCTTTTTCTTTCTATTATTTCTTTTTACAAGTCATTTTTTTTTTCAAATCAACTTCCTTTTTTTTTTTCTATTATTTTTTATATAAGTTTTTTTTTTTTTTTAAATCAACTTTTCTTTTTTCAAGTTCAAATTTTTTCAATCAACTTCCCTTTTTTTTTTTCAAGTTCAAATTTTTTTAATCAATTTCCCTTCTTTTATTATTATTATTATTATTATTATTATTATTATTATTATTATTTTTCTTCGGACTTTTTTTTACCCAAAATTTTTTTTTTCTTGGCATTTCAATTTTTTTTTGTTGTTTTTTTTTTAAACCCAAACCATTTTTTAATTATTTATTATTTTTTTTTCAAATCAACTTTTTTTTTTTTTTTTCTTATTTTGTTTCTTTTACATTTGACTTAATTTGAACGTATATTTCAAACTGTCTACGTACCTAGTAAAAGGATCAAGTTATAACGTCGTTCAAAATAATTTGAATTTGCTTTTATTATTATTTTGCAGTTTATTCTCATGCTAAGCACTCTTGATTTGATCTGAAAGTCTCATGCATAATATATTTTGAGAAATCTTCCATTGATTGGTCCTATCCGGAGTCCGTCTTGAGATGTTAATTTGTACGCGCCATTTGTGTAGACCTCAGTAATAACATAAGGTTCATCCCATTTGGATAAAAATTTATTTTCTGAATAAAAGTTAATCACAAAAGGCCTTCTCACATCAAGAACCAAGTCCCCGATTTGATTTTTTATATTGGGATCAAAATTTATAAATTTTGATCATATTGAGACCAAAATTAAAAGAAGAATTAAAAATTTGTTATACAATAAATAAACATGTAGATAACACGTAGGTGTCTACATTCATATATTGTAGATGCAATTAAAGCCATACACGCGGCACAATTCTTTGAATGCATGAGACTTTATGTACTAGATATATAGGGGTGGGCACGGTTCGATTATTTGTAAATATGCAGGTATTTGATAATCGAACCGAATCGAACAAATACCCGAAACCGCGAGCCGTATTCGAACCGAAAATTTCGGTTTCGGTTAACCGAAAATATTTGTAGTATTTGCAAATAACTCGAACCGAACCGAAATTAAGAAAAAATATATTAAAAAAATTAAAATTCTAATTAAATAAAAAATATTTGCAAATATTTTAAATATCCGAATCGAAACCGAACCGTATATAATTATTAATATAAATTTTAAAATATAATATTATAAATACATAAATATATTCGGTTCGGTTAACCGAACCGAAAAAAATATGAAAAACCGAAACCGAACCGAACCGAACCGAACCGAACCGAACAAATATCAAATATGCAGTATTTGTATTCGAACCGAATTTGCTCGGTTAACCGAAAATGCGGTTCGATTCAGTTTGGCTCAACGGTTCGACGATTCGGTTCGATTTTTTTGCCCAGCCCTATATATATACCCCCTTTGTACTTACATTGTGGAATGATCAAGAAAAATAATAATATTCAACATCAAATCTCTCTCTCTCATCTCTCTTTAATACATATATACATACATTCCTATTATATATATTTACTTTATAATATATATTATATACAATATATAAAATAGTGAAATAGTGATTACGATAGAAGTAATTAATATTTCTATTGACTAATCCTATAATAATATTACAACAAAATTGAAAATATGCTCACTCAATAAATTATTGTTGGTACAATTATACAATGTTCTCACGAGAAAAAAAAAAAAAAAAAAAAAAAAAAAAAAAGAAGGCCAACAATTCAATATAAAAAATATTAATTAGTTTTGAAATAATTAACAAAACTCATCATACAAATATATATATATATATTTATCAAACTAAAACACTAAATTAATATACCCTAAAAATCTCACCCCTCCTAAACCCTCCAACCAACCTGTCTGTTGTTTCTTTCTTTCCATGATTGTCAATATATGTTTTCCTATGCCTAATCATCCTAATCCTATATATAGTATTCAAATAAAATCCACATCATAATATTTACCATTGATAGCCATACCAACGCCCTTATAACCAACCAGGCACCCCGTCTAAAATATACTCAATACATTTTCAGATTTAGCAGTCATGCAGTATTCATCATTTACAGCAGCTAATTATACTAATCATGGTCATAGTCTGGTAAAGAAATACATGACCTATATGCCATTGCTCATTATAGTATAGTATAGACACCGGTGATGAACAAGCTGTAACTTCCAAATATAATCACATTACAACATGACAAGAAAGATTTATGATTTTCCCGCTATCAAATAATCCCATTTGAAGCAGCATTTTGAATATTTATAAATAACCTCGAATTTTTCTGCAAAACACAACCAGATTATGTGTAGCACAGCACCAGTGAGTGAACAAAACCACAATCAATAGATTACACAAATATTGCTGGTAGAAAATGGGAGAGGAAGAATATGTGTATATATGTATACTTATGTGTGTGTGTGTGGGTGCGCACCCAAGGAGGGGATAACCAAATTGTCAATCTTGAGATGGTGTCTCGGTCAATCTCACAGTTCGAGGAAGCATGAATTCAGCAAATATTGGATAGTGAGACGAAGGATAATACCCGTCCACATTATCATTCACCACTTCGCAGGAAACGGGGATGAGTGACCTGCCTCTGAAAAGAATCCAGTCCACATGCAAGTCTTGGGTCTGACGATCCCAGCAAAGGCAAAGTGCTCGGAAAAGCAGCTTCAAGAACTCTAGAGCTCCTTGTTTATCACCTAATGAGGAAAGCAAACAGATGCCGTGAGAATCAATGTTATGAGTATTTGCAGAATGCTCCATGCAACACCTGAAGTACTATATATATATTTTTTTTATTTGAAAAGAAAAATGCAAATTGTGATGGGGGAATCTTTTACTACTTTAAAAAGTTGGGGAGTCTGTTAAAGAAAAATTTTGAACAGTTAGAATGACAGAGGTCAATGGTAATTTGATAAAAATGGTTCACAAGGAAACAGGTGATAATTTGCTAAAGATAATGTACCTTTAAATCCATGGTAAGTGCGAATTAATCCAACATTTTTCCTGACTCGAGCATTTGGCCAAGCATCCCTCATATCACCTACAATACCATGTTCCCTGAAGTGGAAGCAACCAAAGTGAACTTAGAAGCCATCTGAAATCAAGCATTCAAAGAAGCAGCAAGGATTGGCTATGAAAGGATTGAAAAGCCCATAACACTTGTTGTAGGAAAGCCAATCCTATGAATAGCAAAAATGCTATATATGACTTCAAGAGAAAACTGAATTGAATGGGTTGGGTGGGGTGGGGTGGAATTTTCAAATCCAATGAAACACATTTTAGAGAAGAGTTCAACGGAAAATCTAATTACCCTAACAACTTTCTTTAGTAACTAGTTTTCAAGGAATATATCAAAGTCTGATACCCCACCCTATTTCGAAGAGCAAATACTTTCTTTGCTAAGATCCTTTGACCGATATAAAGCAAGAGCTGACACTAAATTCATTAAACTAGTGTGCTTAACTTAAATTTCAGTACATGGCTCATACTGAAAAAAAAAAAAATGCTGAAATTGATTAGTCAAGTAGCAACACATAATATGGCCAGAAAGAAATGTTAGATGAAGATTACTGAAAGCAAAAGTGAGTTTCTTTGGGGTATTTTTTGGGTCTGGTGGTTTAGGCATTTGTTAAAATAATGGTTTGTTGTGACGTTTCGTGAAAGGAAAAAGCATACTTTTTGTTGGAAAATATAGAGATTGAATAGTAAGAAACAAAAACAAAACACAAATAACACACCCCTAGTAACTACCCTGAAGTGTAGAGAGATCCTTACTGCATCACAATGATATAGCCACTTTTCCTAATCCAATATAGTCTGTTTGTGTGAATTTCTGAATCCTCTAAAATTAAGACTTTATGACTGCTTTATTCTTTTAAAAATTGTTTTAAGTTTTTCTAATATGCAACCATCCAAATTTCCTATAGAAAAAATAATAATAATGAGATTTTAATTTGAATTAAAATATTATTTTTTTATTTGTTTATTTGAGTAGTATTGTTGTAGTTTCAAATAAATATTACTACCTCCATCAGCCTTTAAGGGTTTTATTTACTTTTTGTGTATTGATATTTGAATATTAATTATTATATCAAAACATACTACAAATTAAGAAAAAAATGCAAAAATACTTTCATTAGTGACTTATAATACTAATAGAATAAAATTTGTACAAAACTTACACAAATATAAGTTTATTTTTAATGTTAAGTACGACAAAAAGTAAATGTGACCCTTAGAGGGCGGACGGAGGAAGTAATATATATAATTAAAATAAATTTAGAAATTGTGTTTAAATATTTTAAATATTAGAGTTTGTTTGTTCTATGAAAATTTTCCAACACATTTCCTCAAAAAATATATTACACAGTTCATTATTTTTATATTACATACACATCTTTCTATGCATTATATAAATTTTTTTTCCTATAAACCTAACAAACGCTACATTCCAATAAAATATATACAATATAGATATCATATTGTATAGAAATAAAATTTTAAATAATGCAAATAAAATAAAAATATATATTTATTTAGTTATAATTAAAATAAACTAATTTTATAAAAAAACAAGAGTTTTAAACATAGATAGAAGTTTTTGTTTAGTGAGGAGAAAGATAGAACTTGAGTGACTACTGTATGATTTATGACGTTATAAGTTACGAAATTAATGAAGATATCTTTTAAATATGTTTCAATTTAATAAATATTTTTTACCAAAATAAAACGCACCAATTGAACTAACAAAAAGGAAAGAAAGAGCTAATTGAAATGAGACTGAGGAAGTACTTATTTTATTTTTTTTCTTCAGAAAACATTATATCTAAAATACTCTTCAAGCCAAAAAAATAAAAATAACTAACCTAAATCCCAGAAGAGCACATATATTTGGAAAATTGGTCTCGCAACTATGCAAACACAATGCATGTGAAAATCATCTCAAAAACTTGTTCTCAAGATGGGACCACCTACAACTTCCATTGGTCCCCTCAATAAAAATAATATACTTACTTATTCAAAAAGTGTATAAAATTAATTTATATTAATATATATCTATTTATTTCATATTTGGTATATTTTATTGAGTTATAGATTTTAAAATACTTCAACAAACATTTTTAATTTATTTTAAATCAGATATATTTCAATACTAAAAGCAAAAATGTTTCCATTATCTCATTCAAAATCCAAAATCGCTCAAAAACTCAAAAACCATATGAGATGCCAAACAAACACAGGGTGTCTGTTCTTTGGAAACTAAAATTGACCTCGTGACAGTCACCTCATAACTGGATCACAAAACTTCCTTAACTGCACAGTACTTGATATGTTTGGTCCAATGATCTAGAGAGAGCGTGTATGTGTGTGTATCGTCAGGGAAATGAAAAATTAATATCAACAGAAGTTCAATTATATAATTTTTTGATCAGAAAGTTCAATTATATAATTAAATATATATTATTAAGAGAGAGAGTAATATACTCCGTCCCACTTCATTGGTTAAATAATACTCCGTCCCACTTTATTTGTCTGCTCTTTCTATTTCTATTTCCGTCCATTCCACATAATTTGTTACTTTTTTTGGAAATATAATTATACACTTTAATCACCTTATAAAATTTATAATTTATAAATTTTTTTATTTTAATTAAACTATTTAATCATCTTAATATTAATCTATAATTATTTTATTAAATTATAATTATTTTTACTAATACATTTTTTAATTATTTACTAATTACTCAATATCTAAAACTCCGTGTATAACCTAAAGTGGATAATTTAAGTGGGATAGAGGAAGTAGATACTTAATCATCCATCCTGTAAGATAGAATCATAAATTATATTAGTCATATGGACTATAGTCCTATTACTTAAACTAGAGAGTCCCGTAAAGGATAGCCTGGTGGTGGTGTAGGGGGTGACCATAAGGTCATGGGTTCAAACCTCCTGACCTCAGGTCGCCTGCCATACATGGTTCGCCTAGTGTGACTTTCCCGTCGGGCCTGGTTGGCAGGGTATTAGGTTCTGGGGGTTTACCCACAAAAAATAACTAGAGAGACTCGATCAATTTACTCATTGATATTCAACAATGGGACCAAGTTAAAAAAATAAAATAAATTGTCAACTTAGAGTGTGTTTGTTTGAAGGATTTTGTAGGATTTCTATTATTCTTACAATTTTTTTCCCCAAAAACATAAAATCAAAAACTTATTTTTTTCATTTTTTTATATTATACTAAAATCAATTTTATATTAAAAATATGGCATCAATTCTTATTTATATCACATCATACAACTATTCAAATTCAAAATGTTTACTATTTAAATCCCAATCCAAAATCCAAACCCCCCAAACAAACACACCCTTAATGGATTCAGGCATGATAAATTCAGAAGTCCAAAAAGTACCTTGATCTTCCAAGAAGAAAACGCCCAGTGGTTGATTCCTTTTGTGTGTTGAAACCACCACAGTATAAAACAGGCAAATTAGGAGGCAAGGAAGCAATATGTTGCCATGTGAGCAAAGCACCACGCCTACGAGCACGAGGACTAAATTCATCCATGTTTGTATTAACAACTTGAAATGAAAAACCTGGTGGCTCGACGCCTTTCAGCTGGAATGTGTACCAATTAATCAAGGTTCACAATGCTTTCAATGGTGATTATTGTACAGATAGAAATATTCAATCAGTGACATAAGGCAGGCACCCTAGGAAAAGTTAAAGGATATAGCCCATGTCGAGATGCAAGGATCCGTAGAACCCCACGAAATGCTTCCGGGAACTGAAGGTGACTCTGATAGCCAAAAGGTTCCGCCTTCAAGCAGCTCAACCTTTATCAAGCACCGATAATTTAACCAAATAATGTAAAATTTAAGGGTGAAATAGAAATAATCACAGGGGCAATACAAATAATACAATTTCCACCTTTTCCTTGTCATAGAAGATTGTACAGTGCTGATCAGAAGTATCATCAGATCCTTTCCTTGAAATTCCAAATTGTTCATAACCTTTTTGATGCACGAAAAAGTAAGTACCACAAAGATTCCGGTTCAATAATTCAAAGCCAATAATATTAGCAGACTAATATTAATCAAGATAAGACACTGCCTTCCATTGCTTCATAAATTCAATATATGTTCTTACTGAGCAACACGAAAAAACAACTATAACCAGTTTACACTTGAAAGAGTGACAATAATACGGTCACAATATATCAAGTTTCCAAACTCTGTATCTATCAAGCTACTCTGTCTCCAAAACCGGAAAAAGAAAAAGAAAAAAAAAAGGCTGTCAATTTGAACGGCAAGAATTTTGGCGCTCTCTTTCTCAAAAGTCAAGAAACCATCAGAAATATGTGCCAGGACACTTTTAGGAATCACTCATGGATTCCCATTCTGTCAAAAGTAGGAATCCAGGCTTAGACAAGAGCTGCTGAACTTTCTGCACATGAAACAAGCATACAAGCAAAGAATGTGCACAACCAAATGGACAGGGGCTTTTTGTTATTCTAAATGTTCTCTTTCTATATCTCTCAAGCTCCTGATATATAGATGATACTGAAACACTTTCTAGCCAGCTCTGATAAAATATGGACTTCTTTTGTACAGGTGCCCATATCAAACAATTTAATAGAAAAATTTGGAATCAAGAAAATCGTATCCATACAATCCTTATTGTATTTCTTGACTAATTGGATCATTGCATGCGGATTTCAAAGAATATAGTCCATTCCAATCTAGAATAAAGAACTTGTGCATTAGTAAGAAAGATTACTATCAAATACATTGTCATGCATAAAGTTCCCACGCACAAAGGTATATCAACAGAATATGTGAATTCAAAATGTTCTAACTTGAAGTAACAATTATTCCCATAACATAAAGATCTTGATAAGAAAATCTTCCTTCCTAGAGCATATGATGAGAGCAAAAGCAGTGTCTAAGAAAGCAACGTATCATAATCAACACAAGATCCATACCCTGGCCTTGTCATGCAATTTGTATATAGGAATCTCGCACATACAATGTTTTAAATTTGTTCATACTTAAGGCACGGAAGTTCATCCTTTACACAAACACAGGCCAAAGGTTCAAAACTAGAACCAGTAAGTCCAAGACAGAAAGAAAGAAAAATTGGATAAGCTGCCATTTAAAATTCGCAAATGTTGGATTCGAGGTAGCCCGTTTTGACTTGTTTTATTTTTTCGAATCATGTATGTGTTTAGTCCATCGAGCTCAAGTTAGAATAGAGAACATATGCCAATGTCTAAGCTCAGCATTTGCGAATCAAGCACAAAAATGCTTAAACATTATATTTGAAAAGAATAGAAATACAATACGAGAAGTAGTAATACTAATAAAATAAATCTAACAAAAAAAACAGATAAGTATACTTATTGAACTACTAATCTTAAATTCAACATAATTAAAACATAAATATTAAAAATAAGCATTTTTGTACAATACTCCTTTTCGTTCTTCTTCCCCTGTTAATTTAGTTTTGAAGGGATATAGACATTGTGAATCTAGTTGGGCCCTATAAAAGCAAGTTCAATCAGCATGGAGAGTTCCATTATCAATGCAGAAATGTAACTTCCTTGAGCAGCAACACATAAAGTAAGACTTCAAAGACATCAATCAATATTAGATCACCACTACACGAGCCAAGCACTACCAATAATCAGCAAACTTATCGTAATTCAATACAACACCGAAGCACGAAAAGCCTCACCTGGCAAACATTGCTGAAGGTAATCCAATTGTGATTTCACCCCTGATTCATTCAAAGACCGACATCAAGAAGCATTCATCAATTCGAAGTAAAGTTCCACCAGATCAACGAGGAAACAACTTCCAAAAGCAGTCGAGCCAAGAAAGACCAGATCACCCATTTACAATAGAAATACACAATCAGCAACAATCGAGATCCCAAAATCATAGTTACGAACAACTCAACTCAACCCCACACCACACCCATTTCAAAAAATTAAATGACCTTGCTGCGTGCAAAGAACCATTGGAGAATAACTTGTGACGACGGTCGCGCACAAATCCTTCCTCTTGTCCCATGCGTTGGGGCTGTCATCCGGCTGATCCTCCAGAAGATTGAAGGTCATCACGGTCAAAGAAACACTCATCTTCCTTGGGTTATCGGGTTTTACTTCATTGGGGGTTCTAATGTAGCTGTTCGAGGAAGAGAGAAAAGGAGAGAGAAGTGGTGGTTGCTTGCAGGAGTGAGGAGTTGAAATTTACAGAGGAATTGATTAGCGAAGACAGAAACTTCTTAGTTTAATAATCGGAAGTGGGTCCAAAACAAAGCCACTTCTTTGATAGGACACAAGTTCAAATGGACCGACCGGAGGGACCTCTCAATTTCAAGAAAGCAGGAGGTTTCAAATAGCAAACAATGCTGTATGTATGATGTTATATCAAATTATCATGGTGTGTTTGTCCGGGTTTTTGGATTTTGAGTTGGATTTAATAGTAAAAATCTTGAATTTGAATAGTTGTATGATGTGATATAAATAGGTATTGATACGTAAAATTGATTTTTAGTATAATATAAAAAATAAAAAATATGTGTTTGATTTGATATTTTTGTTGAAAAAAAAAATTGGATCAATAGTGTAAATCCAATTCAATCCCCAAACAAACACACCCGACAATACTCTTCTTTTTTTTTTTTTTAACGCAGAAATTCGCAGTTGCTATTCGAAAATGTGAAATACTCTACAAACAAGATCCGACAGACAAGTCACATTAGACGAATTATGAGTGACAGGTGACATGAGGCGTCGGGGGTCAAACGTCCAACCCCCTGCCGTATGTATGATGTCATATCAAATTATCAATGAAGTGGGAAGTGGACAATGGATAAACTTTTTTTTTTTTTTTTAACGTAAAAATTCGCAATCGCTATTCAAAAGTGCGCAATACTCTACAAACAAGGTCCGACAAGTACGAATCATATGTTGACCTGAGGCGTCGGGGGTCACACGTCCAACTCCTGTACCCTTACTGGACAACTTTTGCCTATTTGAGTGGGTATTGAGTAAGCTTTTACTTTACAAATGGTGTGTTTGGCGATTAGTTGATAATTTGAACAGTTAGTTTTGACTTAATTCAGTTAGATAGTTTGATTGGTTGATTCAATTAGCAATTTATATAAAAGTATTTGATAAAATAATTATTTCAAGTCAGTTGTTTATGCCTAAAATGACAATTGAAGACATTTACATTTGTATTTTTAAACATTCAATTATACTATATAAAGTTTAAGATTTTTAATAATTTTTGTTATTGGTTATTGGTTATTGTGAATGTATTATTAATATATTTATTTTACTGATTGGAAATACTTTATAAAAAATAATATATTTTACTAAAGAAATTTAAAAAAATTATATTAAAAATAATACAAAATATTAAAGAACAAATTTTTAATATATGTGTTTTAATTATGTTAATTATTAATTAATTTATTATTACAATTTTCAATAAATTTAATCTATCTTATTTACATTTAATATAATATATATATAAGAAAATAAATAATATTTATATTTTTTTTCAATTTAATAAGCTAATATATTTTACAAAGAAAATAAAAAATATATATAATAATTCATAATTTCAATTACTTGAAAGTTGGAAAATAAAATTATAATTACCAAAATATAAGTACATTAAAATAATAAATATAACTATGTGTAAGGAGAACAATTAATATTAAAGGGCAAATATAAAATAAATATAGTTTGAGAAAACGCTCTTATTTATCAAATTTTTTTTTTCAATAGTTAAATTAAAAGTGGTTCAAAAATTAATTACAAAACACAATCAAAATTTGCAGATTGAACCTAAATAATCTACAAATTAGGCTACCGTAACTGCCACTAAATTAAGAGTTTTGATTTTTTTTCTAATATTTAAAAAAATAATTAAATTTTATATGAAGTTACGATTTTACAATAAAAAAATTGAAATTAAAATTTAAAAACATGTACCCACCCATTTTTGTTAACTTTGAAAATTAATAATAATAGCAAGTTAAGTTCAAAAGAAAGATTGAAATTGATTTTAAATTTTGAATTAAAATTTTAAATTCGAAATACTATTTGAAAAATAGTGTATAAAAAATCAAATAAGCAATTCCAAAGATAATTTGTTTTGAATTTGTAGTTGATTGAAGATAGGTTGAATCTTGAAATTGAGTGTTATTTAAACGATTTGAAAATATTTTTTTTGGATAATACTATCATGATGAAAAAGAAAAAAAAAAAAAAAAAAAAAAAAAGAAAACCCTTCTTCAATAATTTTTCACTATGATCTAGCCATTTATCCATCGGTTATGGTATTGGAATTATAAATTTTTGTGCACTTTTAGTACGCAATTATCCGTTTATGAATTATCGAAAATGAATGGGATCTGAATAAAATTTTAGGTGTTTACATATCCTTATTAGATTATTTAGTTGTGGTTGGGTAGTGACGCAAAGATTAAGGGTCTGTTTTTTAGCCCAGTTTTGGCTGTTTGCACAGTAATCCAACCCAAAATTAGGCTGAAAGGGGGTTTGGGATTTGTCTTTTTTTTTTTAATTATAAATATAAAAAAAATTATAATAATTATAATTTAATAAAATATATACAATATATATGTCATTTTATAGACAATAAATTTTTTATAATATAAATAAATAAAAATTTTAAAATATATATATAAATATAATATAAATTTATAATTAAATTATACAAATTACTATACATTTATATTATTATATTCATACACATCAAATCAATACACATCAAAACTCCTCAAACTCCACCCAAACCCAAACCCAAAAGAAACATCAAAATTCAAACTCATCTCAAAATTCAAATAAAAATCAAACTCATACCCAAATTTTCCCAAAACCTCCTAAGAAAACAAACCCTAAATAATATTGTTAGAACCACAGCATTCAATATTGAAGACCGCAAGGAAATTATTGTTGTGGAATCTTCTGCCATATATTTTATATTTCTCTAAGTTTTGTTTTCTCTTCTGTTGTCAACATATACATGTTTACGTTTTAAGAAACAATCATTTTATCTTTTTTTTAATGTAATTTCTTAATGTGTCAAGAACAATGTAATTCCACAATATAGCCACCAATAGTTTGTGTACGTGAATGAACAGATTGATTTGAAATCACTTCAAACAAAATGTAAATCATTTTTGTCATACTTGGAAGACTTTAGGAAAAATCTTCCCAATGAATAGATTGATAGTTGAATTAGTCATTCTTCCAACAATGAAGATTGATTATTTTATGGATTGGGCATTAATATAAAAAATCTTGCACTAAAAAAAAAAAAAAGAAAAATAGTCGATTTGCTTGGGAATTTTTTCTTGTAAAATTCAAAAATTCACTTCGTTAAACCAGTTGGAGGGAGAATTAACATCCCTCGCAACTCGAGTTGACCTAAACTGTATCACTAATAATCTCTTACAAAGAATTGTAAGGAAATCTACTAGGGAATAGATCTTTCTTATACTATATGATGAAAAAATAACTTTGTTATTAGCGATGGATTAATGCTCTCATGGATTCCCTCACAATTTCTTTCTAAGGAAAATCCTCTAAATTTATATCTTTTTTTTTTAGCATTGTCGTCTTTTCGATGTGGATGAGAGATTTTTTTATGTCACAGTGGTGCCACAATTTGATTTCATGGATCAGGATAAGAGCGTGACGACGAGAACGTGCAAAGTTTGCTCCTCAATGTGTTTGGGTGGATGAATGGCATTGAGGGTTGGACGTCTCAATGGGCTTAGGTGAATTCGGTTTGAAATTGTGCTTATGGGTCTTTTCAAATGATGGTTTGGACCAGGTGTTCATGGGCTCCTTGAGTTAAGGTCGAAGTATTGAGGCCTAATGATTGAATCTCATTAGATCAGTAGATGAGCTCTCGTTGTTATTTTGGGCCTGCGTGTGATGGGTCGTGCTTCTCATTTGGGCTTGCGTATCTGTTGGACATGGGGTCCAAAAGCACCCAAATATGAAGGAGGCTCGAAGACAAAAGCGAATCCGGAGCTCTCAGGCCACAGAGCCGTCCAACAACAATGAGCTTCATACCAAGGAGCCAAAAACTGCTGCCTCCATGGAGCCAAAAGCAACAACCTTCATTGGACTGTGATGTCTCCACAAAGCAAATGATTGCTGCCTTAAGAGGACCGAAAGCAGCAGTTTCCATGGACCTTGGGACAACAACCTCCATTAACCTTAGGGCAGCAACTCCTTGGACTATGGCGTCTTCATCTCGGAACAATGTTCATAAAGTCAGAAATTACTGCCTCCATTTAGTTGAAAACAACTACCTTTGTTGGGCCGTGGTGCTTCCACAACAGAGGAAGGTTGCCTCCACAAGATAGAAAACAACAACTTCCACAGATCATGGGATAACCACTTTCATTGGTCATTGGTTAATAATTTCATAACATCAATGGAAGACTACAGCATATGCATCATCTATGTGGAAGGCTCCAAGAAAATTCCATGTAACTCGAGGCTATTGGGGACACATCTCCGTGGACCGGGTAGAGTAAGATGGAAGCAAATCGAGGTAAGCGGCATATCCGGTCCATAAGCAATGGAAGAAGTTCAGAGCAAGTGGAACCCGGTCTAGAGGTAACGGAAGCGGTTGAGAGCTGATGGAAGACAGTTGGAGGTAATAGAAGGAATAAGTGAAACTACATTTTTACTATAAGAGGTAATTATTTGATATTAGGATAAATATAGTAAAACACACAACACACACACGACAAGAATCACACATCTTATCCTTATTGTCTTTTATCCTTTTATTTTCGAGTTTATCCATAGATTTTAGGAGATTATCAAATTATGTTCTAATTTATGTTGTCTTTTGTTAATTTCTTGCTTAATTTATTTCCCAGCATGTTTTTATCCGCTTTTCAGTAGATTTATCCGATTTTTAGTAGATGTTAGTTTAAATTCATCGAAATCGGTTGTTTAGGCTCGAAGCCGTGGAGGCTCCACCGAAGGAGCCGCCCCCAATCTGACAACGGACAGGCTCTTTGGAGTACTTTCGAAATTCACATCGACGGAATTGACGAATGGTCTTGGAGCCTCTGAATTTTACGTTCCAACAATATTTTATTATTGTATTGAATAGATTATTGTTCTGGTGATCTAATTCTAATAGTCTAAATCATGTAACTTATTTCTTATGGTATAAATATATTGATTTATTAATATACTAGGCC